GGAAATGGGTGCCTCAGCATACCGGTGGGAGTGTGGATAGAGAGAGGATTAGATAGGACTTAGAAAGAAACTGCGGCTTCTCTGAGAGCCAACAGCCCCTCAGGACAGCATATGTGAGGCCGGCCCTAGCACTGTTCATGGGGCAGAAGTTGGAAGTAACATAGGCACTCACCATGAGGGGATTCCAAAAGGAAAGTGTCAGACACAACTAGGGCAGAGATCTACTCAGCTACTAAAAGCAACAGACAGAGCCGGGCACTGGTGGCTACTTGGCTGGTTCATGGTTGGAGACCAGACAGGGTAAACAGTTCTCGAGACCACATCTCCAAAGCAAGCAGAGCAAAATGTAAATGGTGCAAGTGTGAAGCAAGTACAAGCCCTGGTCTCACCAAATAAAAAATAAATAAATAAAGCAACAGCCAGATTTACAAGGAAGAGTTGACAGGGTCTAGAGAGAAAATACTGGGCTTGGGGTAGAGCACTTGCCTGGCATGTGTAAGGCCCTGGGTTCCATCCCCAGCACTACAATTAAAAAAAAAAAATGTAGAGCAGAAAAAACAAGAAACAGAAAGAGATTTTTTGTTTCTCTGAAACACAATACCATTTAAGGAAATTAAGCACCCGGAGGGCACAGTTTTCAAGGACACCAAGTATCTAAATAGGCCTCAGAAGGTGGAGGATGGTAAATATTAAGGGGTCTGAGAGGCCAGAAAAGTGGCCACAAGTGCCTGTCGCCCCAGCTATTGGGGAGACTGAGGCAGGAGGAACACTTGAGCCCAGGAGTTGAAGGGCCAGCCTGGGTCACACAGTGAGACCCCGTCTCAAAATAAAAACATTAAAAATTAAAACATAAACAATAGGAGTATGTGAACAGCACAGAGCAGAGGTTGGCAAGCTATGGCTTGTGGGCACAATTTTTACATTTTTAAGTGGTCAGGAAAACAATTTAGAAAGTACTGGGTTGGATGTGGCATGCCTATAATCCTAGCTATTCAGAGGTGGAGGTAGGAAGAACGAGGTTAGAGACCAGCCAGGCTAAGTTAGCAAGGCCCTACCTGAAAAGAATAACTAAAGCAAAAAGGGCTAGAGGCGTGGCTCAAGTGGTAGAGCACTGCTGAGCAAGCATGAGGCCCTGAGTTCAAACCCCAGAAAAGTAAAATATGATACAATTTGGACAAGTAAAATATATGGGAAATGGAAATTTTAGCATCCATGAATATACACACATTCATTTACATATTGTCTATAGCTGGTTTTTTTTTTGGGTGTGGGGCAGTACTGGGGTTTGAACTTAGGACCTACACTTGAGCCACTCCGCCAGCCTTTTTTTGTGTTGGGTTTTTTTAAGATAGGGTCTCGTGAACTATTTGCCCAGGCTGGTTTTGAACCGTGATCCTCTTGATCTCTGCCTCCTGAGTAGCTGGGATTATAGACGTGGGCCACCAGCACCCAACTGTATGGCTGCTTTTTTGCTATGAAATGACAAAACAAGGCCTCAAATAAGTGTGTTTGAATAGTTGCTACATCTTGATAAGGCAGGGAAAAAAATACTTGAGACAAACCTGTGAGGTTGCAAGGCTGTCCGTATTGGGGAAGGGAAGATGGAGGTGAGAAAATAACACAGCAAAATGAGAGGTGTGTGTGCTAACCCGTGTGGATGGCCGGCATGAGCTGAAGAACACATGAACTTAATTTTGGGCTCCTCAACTGCAAAAATAATGGTTTTTTGGTTGGCTTTGGAGACACAGTTATACAGCTCAGGCTGGCCTTGAACTCATGATCCTCCTCTGCCTCAGCTTCCCGAGTGCCATGTTTTGATAATTAAATCATTCAGCTACACCCAGCCACAGGGAGGAAAAATGTTCTTTCAAGCCAGGCTGGTGGCACATGCCTATAATCCTAGCTACTTGGGAGGCTAAGATTGGGAGGATTGTGGTTCAAGGCTAGCCCAGACAAACAGTTTTGGGACTGAGGGTGTGGCTCAAGCTATAGAGCTCCTGCTTTGCAAGTGCAAAGTCCTGAGTTCAAATCCCAGTCCTGCTGACAACCCCCACCCCCAGCAATTTCCCACAGCTCCGGGCTGCCAGACAATAGAAAACATGTATTGCTTTCTGCATTAAAAATGTGGAAACGGGGCTGGGTGTAGTTCAGAGTGTACAATATTTCCCTACCATGCAAAAAGAAAAAAGGAAGCCACAAGGCAAATGTTTACAGCAGCTATACCTGCATAGCAATAGACTGAAGGGGTTATTCTTTGTTCTAGATTTTTCTGCACTTTTCAACTCTTCTGCAAACAGTATGATCACTCCCACAGTGCCATGATCTGAAGATCACAGGACATTTCAAAGCTTTGGAGCGAGCCCACTGACCCACATCCCTGGCTGTCCTTGTCTCTCTGACACCCAGCATTTGAGTTGGCCAAATCAGAAAAGGAATGGGACTTTGTGGGGTCCTCAGGCCTCTGTCCTCCTTTCCCACCTTATCCAGCCCCCTAAATTCCCCACCCTCCCACTAAAGAATGTGGATTGCTGCCCTGCTGAGAAACAGGGGCCTCACCAGATGGTAAAGAGCTTAGGCCCAGCTGGCCTCCTCCTCCAGGAAGGCTTTTGTCATTGAGTCATCAAGCTGACCAACCTTGTAGAACACAATGCATTAGCATCATCAGTCACTTAAATCCTTGTACAGTCCCATTTCATTTCCTATACTGACCCCCGCCAGATCACGTGAGCCCTGAGCCCTGTGAGACTCAATGTTTTTTTTTTGTTTGTTTGTTTTTGGTGGAACTGGGGTTTGAACTCATCGAGCTTTGCACTTGCAAGGCAGGTGCTCTACCACTTGATCCACACATCCAATCTATTTTGCTCTGGTTATTTTGGAAATGGAATCTTGAGAACTATTTGCCCAGTCTGGCCTCAAACCTCACTCCTCCTGATCTCAGCTTCCCAAATAGCTAGGATTACAGGCGTGAGCCACCGTACCTGGCTGACCTACTCTTTGATGCTCAGCCTCCCCAGCACATCTTTTCTGTCCCCATCACATTCTACCTTGCTCCACTCTTTACAAGCCTAAGTCCTTCCAGACCCCAGGGCCTTTGCACCTGCTATGGCCTTGTCTAGAACACTCCTTTTCCACCTCTTTGCCCGCCCAGCTGCTTCTTTCCCCTCATATCTTGGTTCAAGGATGCCAAAGAGCCTGGAGCTCCTGGACACCCATCATGCACACAGTGCCACGTTCAATACTTGACCCACATTTTCCTCTCTTTCCTCCGATTTTTGTTTTCTTTCTGGCAGTGCTGGGGATGGAACTCAGGACCTGACACATGCTAGGCAAGCACTTTACCCCAGAGCTGTGCTCCCGGCCATCACCTGCACTCAAGGCTCACATTAATCCAGTGATGACGCACTGCCAGGACCCCCAATTTTCAGCTAAAGAAACTGAAGCACAGAGATTAAATACCAGGCTCAAGAATATAGAAGCAGGGAAAACAGAACTTGAACTGAGTCCCTACCCCATCCCCTTGTCAGCAACCCATCCTCTCCCTCTCATCCTCTACTTTGAACACAAGGTCCCTGTAATATTTCCATACTTATTTATTGTGGTTTCCTATTTACTGCAGAGGCTTTTATGTGTATGTGCCTTCCTGGTGCCTACAAAAGTCTAGCACATAGTAGGTGCTCTGAAAACATGCTGAATGAGATGACACTGAAATGAATGAACATACTCCAGCAGAAATTAAGCCTGGCTACAGCAAGAGGGAGTGAAGTGAGACACAAGGAAAGACTTCCAGGGGCAGCAGCTTGCACGGGGAGTGGACATTGCTATGTCTGTATGTCCTTCAGGCAGGGAGGGCCTCCTGGGAGGCAAGTCTGGAATGGAGGGTGTCTCTCAAGAGATTCGGAGGCTGGTCTGGGCGGGCCTCTGGCTGGGGGCCACTCTGAGTGTTTGGAGGGATACAGAACAGAATGGTGGTATCCAGAACTGGCCAGGAACCACACAGGGAGCAAGAAAACACAGCTTGTGAATCTTCTCCTGGAGCCTCAGTTTCCCCAGCTATACACAGGGTCAACCCGACAAGTATCAGTGGAAGCAGCAAGAATCACAGATTATGCACTGATTCATAAAGGCTCTAGAGGTGTGGAATCAGGATTGGACCACTTCACGGAGAGAAAAGCTGAGGCCCAGAGGGGTGATGGTGTTCACCCACGGTCATACAGTAAGAAGTGGAATGGGAACCCAGGTCTCCGGCTGCATGGCCTTTCTTCAGCCCCTCCTTGGCTGAGACACAGCACAGCACTTGGCATTCCTTGGCTGGTGCTCAATAGAGAACAGCTGTCACTTTTACTATGAATCATTCAGGAAGCTTCCACCAGGCAGCTGACAATCTGTACCCCTTTCCTGGCATAGGACTCAGCGCTTCCTCTGGGGGCATCCCTTCCTCTCCCAAAGGTCACAGGGCTTGGGTGGGGCTCTGCCCTTGGGATCCAAGGCTAGCACAGTACCCACTCAGATGTTTACAGGTACTCCTTAGACTAGGACCTCCCTAACCACTGAACCTTTCATTCCAGGTTCCCTCTCCTGCCTGAGAAGCCTCCAGGACCAAGTCAGTAAGCTAGACACACCTGGATTCAGCTATGCCTGAAGCTGTCACTCAGTTCCATGAGCACATTTCCTTCCTATTTGTTATGCTGCTCTGAGACTGACTCCTGCCACTTAATGGATAAACCCACAGGGGTTTTGCCTCGCAAACCAACAGCCCATAATAACACGTTTCCTGGATATTTACAATGTGCCATACACGACGACATACCAGACACCCAATGACCCTGCACGTTCCCTACGGCCCTACGTCAGTGGCTTAATTGTTCCCTTTCTGGGGATGAAGGGACAAAGGGTCCAAGAGCTGGAGTGGTCTTTCTGGTCAAGGCCAAGGCTAGCTGGACAATGAGGCCAAGCTGCAGGAAGACAGAGGACTCCAGCCCTGCCCGTCCTTGGTGGCTCACCTGCCGCCCCGCTGCAGCTCCGCTCTGTGATGCTGATTTTCTTCACCATGTGTACGTTGCTGGTAGATGCCGTGGGCATGGGACACATGGCCTCTACCACCTCGTGGCTGCGAAACACAGGGGGGCTCTCGGGCCCGCTGGATGTCGCCAGGGCCCTCAGCCCTGCTCCATAGGGCTCCAGACTCTGGGCTCGCTGTGCAGGGGCCCCAGCAGCTGTGCTGGCTGCCACCTCCACCTCCCGTGGCCCCTCCACCACCCGGACAGTGTCCACACGGACAGGGCTGTCGGGCGGTGGCCAGGCCTGGGGCTGGGGCTCAGCCTGCTGGGCCTGAGCTGCCTGCAGCTCCTGGAGTGCTTTTTTGAGCTGGGTCTCCAACACAGCCACCTTGGCGGCCAGGGCAGCTTCCCCATCGGGCATGCCCAAGTCCCGTTCTCGGACCCAGGTACCCACACTGCGGGTCTCCAATGGCACGGGGTCCTCAAGGGGCTCCGGGAGGTCCAGGCACAGCTCACTGCGGCCCCGGGTCCCTGATGGGTGGCCCAGGAACTTCTGGCTCTTGAGCTGCACCGTGAGCTGTCGCTTCTCTTCCTGGAGGACCGACAGCTTCACTTGGAGCACGGGGATCAGCTTCACTTGCTCCTCCAGCTGCCGCAGCTTCCTCAGGGCACCCGCCATCTGCTCCCGCACGTGTGCCAGATGCCCAGCGCTAGGTGGCACCGGCGTGGACAGCCCCGAGCTGCGTGGCGTTGGGGGTGGCAGCCCCACTCCCACCAGGGAGCCTGTGGAGCCAGCCGCGCTGGGGGTCAGGGAGCCTAGGCCAGGGGGTGCGGCCGCCTGGTCCTCCAGGCGGCGCCGGGCATCCAGCAGAGTGCGCTCCACTCGTGGGTTGAAGCCCCCACGGGCCTCCAGGGCACCGTACTGCGGGTAGAAGCCCCGGCCACAGTAGGAGTAGGCTGAGTGGCGGCTGTCCCCGCTGGCATTCGAGCACAGTGACTCGGTGGACGTCCACCAGGAGCCGGGGCCGCGGGGCAGTGAGCCCAGGCGGGGGCGGCGCTGCACGGCCACCCGGCGCAGTGTGTGGCCCTTCTCAATGTCGTCCACATACTTGAGGAAGTCCAGGTCCAGGCGGTAGCCGTAGGGTGTCTCCACTGAGTAGGGTGGCTCAGGATCCTTGGCAGGGAAGGAGGGTGGGGAGGCTGGGCCGGGGGTCCCTGGAGTCAGGAGAGAACCACCACCTCTAGGTTACAGCTTCAGTCATTCTGCCAGCATTATACTGGTAAGCACGATGTTTTTGTTTGCTAGGTTTGCAGCACTGGGACTTGAACTCAGGACCTCAGGCTTTCTAGGCAGGTGCTCTAACACTTGAGCCACTCCATCAGTCTAAGCTACCACCTCTAAATGCTGCTGTCTCCCTTCTTGGGGTGCAGACTGATGCCCAGGGACAGTCAGAGTTTGTCTGCCCCAGAGATGGAGCCCACTGGCACTCAACTGTGTCTCCAGTCTCAAAATGCCCCCTTCCCCGGGATAGGGCTGTCCACCCACTCTGATCCCTGGGGCAGGGCTGTGCCTCCCCACCTCAGACCCAGAGAATACAGCTGTCTCCCCTCTCAGGCCCCCACAGCCAGGCTGTGCTTCCTCCCCTAGACCTCCATAGCAGGGCTGTGACTCCTCAGACTCCTGCAGTAGGGCTATGACTCTCCCTCACACCCCCACAGGGCTGCATCTCCCCCTCAGACTTGCCAGGGCAGAGCCTGGCCTTTCTGGCTCAGAACCCTAGAAAAGGGCCCGCTTCCCCAAACCCCTGGCCTGACCTGACCTGGGAATGGGGCTGGCACATGCAGGACCTGGGCCATCCTTGTCTGCAGACAATGGTCAAGAGTCGCTCCTGGGACTGCAAGTCAGATGGTCTGCAGCACTGGCTGCAGCTGACCTGGAGGAGATGGGTTGATGGGGGGGGAGGGGAGTCAGGAGGAGTCTTCAGGGGGAGGAGAAGAGACATGGCCACCCCCTCCATCACTACCCCACCCAGGACCCTCGCATAGGCACACACCCAGCCTGGCCGCCAAAAGGCCTAGAACAAAGAAACCAAACCTCCCCGCCTGCATGCACATCTGTCCAGCTGCTGGACAGGCTCCAGCTGTTCTTATAGCCCTGCCTCCACATGGCCCCCGGGATGGGGGCCCCAAGCCTGACATCCCCACCCTTCCTGTACCCCCTCCCCTCAGCCCAGGCTGGGATCGGGCCACAGAGAAAGATGGGGGGCAAAGACAGTTAGGTAGGGGGCTAGAGTGCTGACAGGGACAGTCCTCCAGCCAGGATCTAAGGGACACAGGAGACAAGAGAAAGGGCATATGGGACCCCTAAGTCCCCCGGCTGATGGGGGGTGTAGGGAAAGTGGGGGAGGCAGCAAGTTGTGAAGCCTTTCCCCTTTATGGAAACAATTTTCTCTAAAAATAAACAGTTTCGCTGCTGGGCTACACAGAACTTCCTGCCCCCCCAGGATGCGTCCGGCATGGAGGGCGCAGCAGGGATAGAGGGCCAGGGCGGAGGCCCGGGAAGTCATGGGGGTGGAGGGGAGGAAGTAAGTGGGGGCGCCTTGAGGCTGTGAAAGGGAGGGACAATCAGGACCTCTCACTAACTATCCCTCAGTCCTGGAGGCTGGCCAGGGTCCCTTTGTCCCCAACACCCTGCCTGAACTTGGCCAGTCCTTTTTGCTGTCTGACTTCTAGCCACCTTAATGCAGAGGTCTTGGCCCATTTCACCACCACAGTGGCCTATTCTGGCCTGTGGGCAGCAGGGCGGTGGGTACCTGGGAGGATGGGCCAGGTGGGAAACCTGCCGGGCATGAAGGCGGGGCTGGAGCTCCAGGGGCACCTAAACTTGTCCTTGTCCGATTGTCCTGTCTTGCTTAATTTCTCTCCACGTCTCTCTGTACCTCGCCGGGTCTCCGTCCCTCTGTATGTCTCTGCACGTCTCTCTACGTCTCTGTCCTCACTTCGCTGGCTTTCTTTCAACACCTGGAATGCACAGTGACCAATAATAGGAAATTTGGTTTCCATTTGCTTGGAGTCTTACCCCTCTAACAACAGACAGTTGGTCCAAAATACTTTCTGGAGACTTAAGAGAAACCCAAAGTGCTGGAGGGAGAGCAAATGATATTAATAACTACAGTAACAATGCCTGCCTGACAACCCCAGGAGGTGGACAGTTACTGCCCTGGTTTACAGATAGGGAATACAGGGGTACAGTGACTTATTCAGGGTCACTTAGGCAGCAGACTTGAACTGAAACCTGGCAACTCTGACCAGTGCTCATCAAGTCACCACCTCCAAACTCCATACCCCTTTACCATTTCCCAGACATGGAAACTTGAGGTCTGAAGGTGTCAGGTCATCAGCCTGCCATCCACGCAGTCTGGGGTGAGGGGAAGAGAAATAAAATATGGGGATGGGTGTGGGGGGATTTAGGATACTCCAAGAGAGGGGAGGTGGGAGAGCCCAGGGAGGGGGTGTAGGGGGTCAGCCCAAGGCACCTCCCCACTAGGCAGGAAATGTCCTGTGTTTTCCTGCCCCTCTCTCCACCCTAAAGTTGGGGGCAAGAAGGACCCCGCCTCGTGCATGGAGGGGGCGGGGCCTGCGGGGTCCTGGCTAATGGCAAACAGCTGTGGCTCCCCACACCGGCCCAGCAGCCAGGCTGAGGCCCAGCCTGGACAGACGGACGGATGGACGGACGCCTTCCCGCCGCCTGGGACCTGACCGGGCCGCGGAGGGCGGCGAAGGGGGACAGCGCACGGTGGTGGGGGGAGACAGAGGCAGGGGTAAGGACAGAGGGTAGGCAGTGCTGGGGGACAGCAGCAGGGCATGAGGAAGGGATGGAGGTGGATGGGGGGCTAGGGAAGCAAGGCCGAGGTGAAAGGTGGGGAGGGGACAGTGGCACGGGGACCGAGTCCGGAAAGTTTGGCTACCGATGGTGAAGCTGGAGGCAGCGGCTCTCAGGGAACCAGTGAGGTTGTGTGCCAGGGGTTGGAGGTGGAGATGGGACTCCCCCTCGAACCCTGAACCTAACTCCAACCCCAACCCAGCCCCGGGTCCTACTCGCCTGGCGCGCTCCGGCCGCCGCCGCCGTCCCTGCGTCCCGCCGCCCGTGCGTCCTCCGCGCGCCGCCGCCCGGTCGCCAGGCCCTCGGCCCCGCCCCTATCGCTGACCACGCCCCCTCCCTCGCTCAGGCCACGCCCCCCTGCAGCCGCCCGGGCGCCTCCTCTGTGGGGGTCGGGAAAACTGTGGACGGACACGGTGTCACCTGGAAGGCAGGTATGTGTGCAGGTCGGTGGTGGGAGGATGGTGCGGTCACGTCGCCCCGACCCCCGCCTCTCCGCACATCCCCCCTCTCCGCAGGCTGCCCCCGCCCGCTGCAGCTGGGCCGCTGCGGGGGGCTGGACGTCTGGGCGGCGGGAGGGGGCGGGGCTGGCCGGGGCCCAGCGCGGGGCGGGCGCGGCGGCGGGAGGTCACCCCTCCCCCACGGCGGCCCAGGGCTGGAAGCCGCCCAGCGCAGGCCTGGTACATGGTGGCGTGACCGCTGCGGGGCAGGGAGGGGAGGGGGGGGGCAGCTTCAGCGAGACTGAACAGCCAAGCCGGACCTAGACTGTGATCCCCGAGTGCAGTGTTTTACTGCACGCTGCCTCAGTTTCCCCATCGGTAAAATGGGACTAATTGTGCTGCCCATCTGATAGGTGTGTTGATAAAAATTCCCCAAACAGTAGGCTTAATGGACGGCCTGCTTTATTTTTTATTTTTGCGGTACTGGAGATGGAATCCAGGCATTTAAGCATGCTAAGCAAGTGCTGTAGGCGGACTACTTGTGTGTAGAACTTTCTAAAAGCCATTCATTGTAGAGCTTAGCACTTGGTAAAGGCTTAATACATTTTACAGTTATTCCCAGTGGACTTGTGCATTATCTGTGTGTCACCTTCCCTGCCAGAATGTCAGCTCCCCCAGTGCAGGCATTTGTGTTTGTTGTCACCAGTGTCCCAGGGATCTCAGTGTCTCAACGGATGTCTCAGGACCTGTGGATGCAGGGGATGACTGCATACACTTGACCCAACCCCCAGGGACCACATCACACAAGTTGCATATTAAAAAAAAAACATTTTAAATTAAAAAAGGTATTAGGCATTAGTGTACACAGATGGGAACGGACAGACAGGGACAGAGGGCCCAGTCCCGGGTACAGTGTGGTCACCCTGTGAACCACGGGGTGGTAGGAGTGACTCCCAGTGAAGGCGCAGGCAGCTGAGGCCTGGTTGTGGATTCAGGTCCTCTGGGCTCAGAGATCTGTCTTTCGGAAACTTGCTCTGTTCAGTGAGTTCCTAGTGAGGAATGAAGTAAGTTAGCATGGCCGCAGGGCCCCCAACTCCATAATGCTCCCCAACCCACCTTTTCTTCCCCCTCCTCCTCTTCCAAGGATCCTTCTAGGATGTTTCCTGCCCATTTTTAGTAATCCTCCTGATCTGGACATGGGGTTTGACGCTTTTCTCTTGGAATTCACCATGGGAGGTAGCAATCATGCCCATTTCCAGATGTGGAAACTGAGACTCAGTTTCTGAGGCACAGCTGCCCAGAGCCTACACTGCATTTGTACATGTGGACAAGGGATTTCCCCATCCATGTCTGGCTTGGCCTGGTTCTGCTTGCCGTTTCTAGAGTGGGGAGCCCAAGTCTGGGCACCTGAGACTGGCTGGGGTGGGTGCCAGCAGCTGGGGCAGGCGCTGGGTAAGGAGGGGCTGAAGAGCCTCCCGTAGGCGGCAGTAGTGGCGCTCCAGTTCTCTGTGGTACTCTTTTTGGTCCGGCCCAATCAGGGCCTTGTTCTTCCGCAGTGCGTCCTCACACCTGAGGGCCAGATGTAGAGAATGCTCCAGTTGGCCCGAGGTGAGGGTCACACAAGCCAAGAAGCTACAAAGAGGTGTCAGGTGGACAAAGGCTTATAATGGGACCCCCAAACAGACTAATGGAGGGTGCTGGGCCTACTTCTTGCAGAAGTCCTTGAAACACAGCCGAAGTTTGTTATGATGCCGGAAGAGTTTAGGGTCTTCTGGGATGTCTGCCAAAAACACCTGTGCTACCTCCAAGGGACCCTACAGGGGGAGAGGGACTTGTAAGGGAGCCTGCTAGGCACTTAAGAGACCGCTGGCAGCCTGCATCCCCCCCCATCCCAGCCGTGCCTGGTTCACAGTGGGACCCACGGATCCCTGCAACACCATCTGCAACATCTTAGCATCTGGAGGGTCCTGCTCTGTGGCAAAAGCCAGCTCCCGTGTCTTCTTCTGCATGTCCTCGATGGCCACCTCCACTGGCGTCAGCACCATCTGCAGGTAAGGGAGGGAGATGGTGTCCTGGCCCAAGTCAGCTCAAGGGAGCTTGAATGGGATCTGCTGGGGGCAGTAAACAAGGCCCAAAGCTTCCGCCTGCCTGGGTTGCCCACCAAGGGGATCTTGGTTTAGCCGCCTTTGGCTTTGGTCAGGGTCCACCTTGGAGCTGCTGAGACTGGCGCCCTTGAATCCGAGGGTCTGGAGGTTGTAGTTTGGGGTCCTTAAACTTCCTCACCTGGTTCTGGGGTCTCTATGCCTCCTCGATCTAGGTCTGAGATCCCTGGGCCAGCCAGAGTCTGGGGTCTCCCAACCTTCCCTTCCCAAGCTTGATATCCTCCCACCTCCCCTCCCTAGACCTGATGGGTCCCTCCTTTTCCCTCCCTGGGCCCCACCTCCTCCCGGTGGCACACGCGGATGCGCGTCTTGATGTAGGGGAAGGCGTGCTCTGTACTGAGCAGCGTCTTGCGCTTGTGCTGCTCCGGCAGTTCGCCATGCGCGCGCCCGTCGGGCGTGAAGGGCGTGCAGAACAGGAAGGCGCGCAACCCGTAGTTGCGGTCGAAGTAGGTCACACGGTCCTTGAGCTCGTAGGTGTCAAAGTGTGGCTCCACGTATGTGATCTGGATATAGGCCTGGAGCACAGGGTCAAATGTAAGGATCACCTGACTCCTAGTTACAGACTTGGTGAGCCAGTCCCTGGCCAAGGATGCCCTGGGTCAGGGGGACTTCGATTCTGGGGTTCTCAGATATTCTTATGGATATCTGGGAATCCCTGCAGGAATAGGATTTGCGGATTCTATCCTTATCCCAAGGGGATAAGATTGGGGTTGTGCAGAAAAATAGATTTGGTTTGATTTTTGCGTGGCTCAGGCTGGGATCCTCTAGCCTCTGTCTCCAGAGTACTGGGATTATAGGTGTGCCTCACCATGCCCGGTAAGAAACAGGTTTTAAGGTCTCCAGGAAATAGTACTTTGAAATCTCCTTTGTTAGATTTTAGGGGAATGGTCGAGGGACTTACCTTTCGTGGATCGAGCTTGGACTTGTCCACGGGATTAGAGTCTTTGATAATCTCCACGACATCATCCCCGAACCTCTCGGTGTAGAACTCCTGAGGATACAGGGCTAACTCAGGACTGCAGAGGTGCAGCCCCTGCTCCAGTCCTGGGGCAGCCCCATGCTGCATCCTTCTCCCTGGGCACTCTGACATGCCTCCAGCCGGTGTGAGATCTCCGCCAGCTTTGTGATCGATGGCTCCTTGTACACAAACTCCTGCTCATCCAGGTCCCCAAAGCGGGAGCCGTAAAAGCCCACCCGGAAATACGTTCCAAATACGCGCTGAGGCTGTGGGAAGGTGGTGGGGTGTTACCTGGCAGGCACTATTGAAAGTCTTCCCACCCGAGACACATGTCCTGGTGTGGGATGCAGAGGAAAACAAGATAGGACTGGGGAGGAATGGGTACTGGCACAGGGGACCCCTGAGAACTTCAGGGTACCAGCCTGGACCACAGCCAAATGCTTGGATTTTTTTTTTTTTTTTTGGTGGGACAGGGGTTTGAATTCAGGGCTTCACGCTTCAAAGCAAGCACTCTACTGCTTGAGCCACCCCTCCAATCTATTGGACTCTTGCTTTTTCTCCCCAGCCTGTCTTTGTTTCCCAAATACTCATCCTTGTTGAACACAAGTCTTGAATTTCTGTTTTTCTGTCTGGCACTGTGCAGTTTTTTCATCATCTGGGTGCTAGTACCAAATTAGGACTAGGCTGTGCTCTTCATGTCTGCCCTAACGCCCATGAGCCCGTGTATACAGCAGGTGCTCTCATCTTTCCTCTTGCCCTGGGACAGACCCTCTGGCTCCCTTGTTCTAGGACACTCCCTTCCCCGTCCCCAGACCTATGCTTAGAAGGAGGAATAACCCCCCACCCTTCCCCAAGGCTACCACCCTCTGCCCCCAAGGGAAAGGAAGTGGGGTGGCCCCATGTTCACTTACCAAGGCAAAGCCAGCAGTGTGGGGAAACACGATGGGGCCAGGGGTGTGGGGACAGAGAGACACAGTCATGGGAGAGGTCAAAGATCAGAGCCCCCCCCCCCCAAGTCCTGGTTTTTTGCTATCCTTTGAAAACAGGGAGATCAGGGATTGGGGAGGGCGGGGACTTGTCCCCACCCAGCCTGCCTGCCAGAGCTCTGGGTTCCTGCCATCTTTGGCCAGAAAATTCTCCCTAAACTAGGAGATGCCTAAAAATAGAAAGGAAGAGGCAGGATTTGGGGGGGGGGTGGGGGCTCATTAACAAGAGATGAGGAGCAGAGATCTTGGGAGAAGTTGGGTGTTGGGGAGGCAGAGACAGAGAAAGACTAAGAGAGATGTTGAGCTAGAGATATGGAGAGAGGAAGACTGCAGTGATGGGGAAGAGGCAGAGATGGGAGAGATGGAGGAAGTTAGAGCCCCCACTCCACCTTTCCCCCCACCCCCACCAGTGGCTGAGCTGGCCTTGCCCGAAGAAGGGGTGTCTCTGGAGAGGTACCAGCTGGGTGACTCACAGGCTGCCCTTGAGATCTGGGGCGGGGGGAGGGGGCGTTTGGGGAAAGGGGAGCTGTGTGTCATCACCCAGTTGCCTGGGGCCCCTTGTGTAGGGTGACCATGCTTCTCTGGCGTCCCCTAGTGGCCACCAACCACTGCAGACTGGGAATCCCAGGGGTCCCAGAGAAAGGCAGCCACGGACTTACCTCCCAGCCAGAGCTCTGTGGGGGAGAGAAGGGTCAAGGTTAGGCAAGCCTGGGGTTAGGCTGAGGGAGGGGCACAGGGCAGAGTCTGGGGAGGGCCCACCTGGTGCATGATCTTGGTGAAAGCCTCCTGCAGTTTGCCGTGCACGGCAGCCAGCTTCTTGTAGTCTCGGTGGGCTTCCAGGATGGGGATGAGGTTTTTGTAGACCTCATTCACAGCCTCATAGAGTCCACCCTGGGGTGTGGGTGGGGATGGGGTTCAGGAATCTCCAAGTCCTTATCCTGCCTGGAATACCTCCCCCCAGGCTCTGTTTCTATCTCCCCCACCCCCTCTGTCACCACCTCCAGGAAGCTCACCCCGATCACCCTCACCCCAGAACTGGCTCCAGCCTTTCTGCTAGGCCCCCATAGAACCCTCTGCTAGGATCGACCATTTCCAACATGACCCTTACTTGGTGGGAAGGGCTCAGGGTTATTTTGTAGGGCTGGGAATGGAACTTGGAGCTTTGAGCATGATAGGCAAGCGCTCTATCACCCCCAGCCCTGAAACTTTTTTGTCTCAGAGGGGAAACTGAGCCTCAGAGATACGGACAGGTGCCTGAAAGCCAGGACTTAAATGCCAGCCCACTTGGCCTGGTGCTCCTGATGCTCAACTGCTACCTAGCATGTGAAAACAGCCACTTGCAGATCCCTCCATCAAGGCTGGCACACAGCAGGTGCCTTTCAGTGTTTGTTGATTGACTATCTGAAGGTCTGTGTCTGCTCTCTACCCCAAGGCTTTTGTCTCCAAAAACTCAAGGACAGTGATGATAATGAAAACATCAGTAGAGGCAACATGAAAAAAGTCTCACTGGGGAGGAGCTGGGGTGTAGTTCAGTGGTAGAGCTCTCACCTAGGATGTGTGAGACCACACATTAAAAAAAAAATCTCCATGGAAAACCTGACCTTGAATCTGACCAGGCCCTCAGATCTAACTACCAGCTCCCAAAGATGACAAGAACTGAGAAACAGATAAAGTGACATGGTAGGGACACACCAGCCCCACACAGGCCAGAAAATGCTGGAGCACAAACCCTATTTCTCCCACAAGTCCATCACAGAAGCACCAGTTGCATTCATACCAACAAGCAAACTGGAGGAGAAAGTTCCTTTACAACACTGGAAAACAGGGCACGTAGGCATTGCTGAGTGCCGTGGTACACACCTGTAATCCTAGCTACTTGGGAGGCTGAGATTAGGAGGATCGAGGTTCGAGATTAACCCAAGAAAAAGCGAGACCCCCATCTCAACCAACAAGCTGACCCTATCTCAAAAATAACCAAAAGCAAAAAAAAAGGCTTGGGCATGGCACAGGCGGTAGAGAGCCTGCCCCGTGAGGCTCAGGTCCTGAGTTCAAATCCCAGTACCACAAACAAAAAAAGTGCATAAAACCCTTCTTTCAAAAAGGGGGAATATGGAAACTGATTTCCCCTTTTTTTTTTTTTTTTTAAATCTTTTTAGATGAAAGGAAACTACTTAGGCTTCAGGACAGTGAAATGGATGTCTCTGAAATAGCAAATGGTGTACACGTGTCAACGCCCACAGAACGTATAACCCCAATAGTGAGCCCAGATGTGAACTGTGGATGCTGGGTGATAATGTCACTGTAGTGTCATCAAATGTGCCAGAGGTTGATAGTGGAGGAGGCTGTGTATGTTGGGAGCAGATGTATAGATTTGGACTCTCTGTATTTTCCACTTAATTTTGCTGTGGACTGAAAACTGCTCTAAAAAAATAAAGTTTATTAGCTGGGCATAGTAGTGCATGCCTGTAATCCCAGCACTTAAGAGGCAGGATTACAGACGTGAGCCACCACACCCTGCTATCATGTATCATCAATTTAAAAAATTTAGAAATGGGGTGGGGATATAGTTCAGCATGTGCATGGTGGGCCTTTTTTGAATCCTGATTCAACCTAAACAACCACAAACAAGATAACTATATTTCATATATATGAAATAGATATAAAAATTAAAAAAGATCTATACTTAATGTATATGCATACATGTGTGCACTGGCGAATGCAGCCAGGGCCTTGTGTGCCCTACTAAGGAGAAGCTCTGTCACTAAGCCACACCCCCAGCCCCCCAAATGATATTTATGAGATAACTGGGCTGAGATGAAGCAATGTCAAAGGATTGCTAGCAACCTGGTCCTGCAGGATCAGAGTTTTGTAAAAGGGGATTTTTCTCAGCGAGTGTTGCAAAGGAGGCAGCTGTGGGTATGACAGGGACACAGCTGGAATTTGTTTTAAGCCAGACCTTCCCAGTCTTTTGAATCTCTGAAGTCTTGCTTTTGGGTTTTTTTTGTTTTTATTTTTTGAGTCAGACTCTGGCCCAGGCTGGCCTCAAACTCTTGAGTACTGGGATTACAGGCGGGTGCTACCACACCTGTCATGAATCTTGTTTTTAAGTATGCAGCCTGGTTTGGAGGGCTTGGGTGAATCCCAGGATCTTTTTTTTTTCCCGTTCTGGGGCTCAAACCCAGGGTAGAGTCTTCTTTTAAATTTTGTCCCCCAGTGCTGGGGATGGAGCCCAGGACATCACACATGCTAAGCGTGCTCTACTACTTAACTACATCTCCAGCCCTTATCTTACCTTATCTTAACTGGCTTTATTTTGAATTCCACAGCTGGACAGCAGTTCATCCCATAAAATAAAACAAGTATTCCAAAAAGCCCACCAGAAGAGGATGGTTTTATAGACAGAATAGGGCTGGGGAAAACCCAGCAGCAACAAAAATCCTTTCTTCTTTTATGTGTGCTTGAAAGGTTCTATTACAACAAACAAAATAGCAAGCTCTTCCTAAGTGTATGAAAAACTTACTACATCCAGGCTGTAGGTAGCAGAGTTTCTGAGGGTCCTAAATCATCTCTCTCTTTTGCTTTGTTTTTGTTTTTGCTCCTTGGTGGTACTGGGGTTTGCACCTAGGGCCTCACACTTGTTAGGCAGGCACTCTACCATTTGAGGCACTCCACCAGCCCTTTTTTGTGCTGAGTTTTTTCAGGATAGGGTCTTGTGAAATATTTGCCCGGGGTTGGCTTCGAACCACAATCCTCCTGACCTCTGCCTCCTGACTAGCTAGGATTACAGGCGTGAGCCGCCAGCGCCTGGCTCTGTTTTGAGTTTTGAGACATGGTCTCACTATGCAGCCCAGGCTGGCCTGAAACTCAAGATCCTCTTGCCTCTGCCTCCTGAGTGCAGGGATTACAGACGTGCACCACCCACCCAGCTCTGATTTTCCTTTCTGGTCTGAGGACCCCTCCCCTGCAGTCCCCAAACCTCACCATGGTGAAGTAGGCAGCCGCCTGCTCCAGCAGACCCACCAGTCCCAGCTCCGTGAAGTGCTTCCCCGAGCAGAAGCCCTCCTCGTCGGGCGACAGGATGTCATCGGAGATGGCGGACTCCTCCAGCACATTGGATGAGATGTTCTGGGGTGGGAGATGGCATGAGACCCTGGTCACTTCCCCACCTGGACCTTCCTGTCCTCACCTATTTACCCTTCCTGGCTCACCTGGAAGGACACACAGCCCACGGGCAGGTGGCGGCTGTCCTCCAGCAGGGCGAGGTACTCAGCCACCAGGGCAGCTGCGTGCACCATGCACTGGGCGGCCTCAGCGTGGTTTCCAAGCTCTGCGTGTTTCCCCGCCATGTTCTGCAGCCATGTCAGCCTCAGATCCGGGGAGCCCTGGTAGCCTCGGGCGATCCTGGTGTCCAGGTGAGGGGGGAAATAAGGACGGGGACTCACCTGGTCCTGCCTGCCTCTGTGTGTCCGTGTCCTTCCCTTGTTACCCGACCTTGTGCCCTGTGGACCAGCCCATCGCACCTGCAACCCACTTACCTGGCCCCTCTTCACCCATTTCCCACACCTGTCCTGCCTGTCCACCCTCAGCTGTCCCTTCCGCGCCCATCTGTGTCTGCCTCTGCTGATCGCTCTCCTCACTTGTACCTGTTTCCTACTAAACCAGTCTCACCTGGACATCACTCACCTGTCCCCTCACCTTTGCATCCCCTCAGCTATTTCTCCACCTGTCCCATCCATTACCTGGCTTCACACTCACCTGTCCCCTCACCTGTCCACCTCCTTCAGCTGTTCCCACCTGTCCAGCTCCTTACCCGTCTTCACACTCACCTGTCCACCATATCCCCGTTCCTCTTTTACCTGTCTCCTCACCTTCCCTTCATTATCCCTCACCTGTCATTCCTGTACTCAACTTTACCTGTGGAACCTTGTGTTAGTTTAACTCCCCGTTGCTGTCTTGTCCTCCATGTCACCTGTCTCTCCCCCTTTCGTAGCTCCAAGTTCTGCCCACCATCTCTTACCTTCTTACTGAACACCCCCATCCCTGCTCCAAATCCATTGTTCCCTTAACCTGTCATCCCTTCACCTCTGTCCCCTTCACTTGTCGTTATTCTCATCTGTCATTCTGCTACAGCTTGGATTTTTTTTTAGGGGGAGTGCCAGGGCTTTGTATGCACTGTACCACTGAGTTCCATTCCCTGCTCAATGTAGTTTGGATCTTAAGTGTCCCATATTTTAAAGACTTAACCCCCAAGAGCCAGGCACTGTGGCTCACATCTATAATCTTAGCTAGTTGGGAGGCTGAGATCAGGAGGATTGAGGTTTGAGGCCACCCTAGGCAAATCATTCCAGAGACCCCATCTCCAAAATAACCAGCAAAACAGACTGGAGGTGTAGTTCAAGCCTTAGAGCTCCTGTTGTGCAAATTGAAGCCCTGAGCTCAAACCCCAGTCCCACACACATACATACACACCAAAAAAAAAAGAGGCTTAATTCCCAGGTCAGTGCTATTGGGAGGTGGTGAAACCTTTAAGAGGTGGCACCTAATGGAAGTCTTTAGGTCACTGGAGGCATGCCCAAAAGTAGATTGTGGGACCCAGCCCTCTTCCTCCTCCTCTCCTTAGCTTTCTGACTGTGAGGCAAGTGATTGTGCTCTGTCACGAGCTCCTGCCACAATATGCTGCCTTGCCACAGGCCCAAAGTAATACACCCACATGACTGTGGACTAAAACCTCCCAAACTATGAGCCCAAACCAAGCTTTTCTCTTTATAAGTTGATTGTCTCGGGTATGTATTACAGTGCTGGAGAGCTGACCAATGCACGCTCTCACCTGTACCTTCTACTGATCACGTTTCTACCTGTTCAGTCTGTCTCACTTTCCTCGTGCCCTCACCTGTGCCCTCAACTACCTGCTCACATGGCCAGCTTCACCGGTCTGCCCTCCTGTCCCTCTCATGACCTGCACACACACTCTTCTGGCCCCCTCACCACTATTCTCCTGTCACCCGTGGGCAAGTGGGCATGGCTGAGGCCCCAGCTGGCGCCCTCACCGGTACATGAGGTCCAGGAGCATCTCTGGATCCTCCTGGTGCTCCTTCATCTTCACCGTGTCGGTCAGGATCATGTGCAGGTTGAACATCAGGTCCTGGACCTACAGCCGGGCACATTCAGGGTGAGAGCAGGAGGGTGAGGCCCCGGGTGACTCAGGCTGGGCGGGAGGGCCGTGGCTGTCACCTGCTCCGCAAAGGTGCTGTCCCTCAGTCCTACATCCTCCTCGGCGTAGGTGAGTATGGTCTTCAGGGAACGTCTCAGGTGCTCTTCACTGAAGTTCTGGGTCGTCCCCACGAGGGACGACAGGGACATGGTCACCTGCATCTTCACGCGGGCAAAGTTCTACAGGAACAGGGAAAGCAGAGTGGCCCCCAGCACCCCGGCCCCCGGGCCTGCTCAACCTACTGACTTACTGCCCCTCACCACCTGTGTACCATCTCACACTCCTCCATCCTGACCCTCCTGCCTGTGACACGCCCTCCTCCTCCCTCTGTCCCCTCTGAGCAGTGCGTCCCCGCAGCCCCTGCCCACGCACGTGGCCGATCTCGAAGTTTTGGCGCATCAGCAGGTAGAGCGAGGCGCTGGCGTGCGTGCGAATGGCACTGATGCGGCTGCCGCAGTGTCGCAGGAGCCTGAGGCACAGGTCAGCACACAGCTCCGTGTCCTCCTCGAACAGAAGCTCCGGGAACTGTCCCCCAGGACCCACAAAGACACTGTTCAGCTCCTCCCTGCTGGGCTCCGGGGCTCCCCGATGGGACCCTGGTGGGAGGCGTCTGTGTCTGCTGCTTTGGCCAATGACAGACCTGGGTTTAAGCCCTTGCTGTGTGACACTGGCAAGGTGACTTGGCCACTCTGATCCTTGGGTTTTGTCTCTAAACTGTAGCCAAGCACACATTAGGTGCTCAATCAAAGGGCTGATTTTATTTATTTTTGCAATACTGGGATTTGAACTCAGGGCCTATACCTCAAGCCACTCCACCAGTCCTTTTTTGTGAAGGGTTTTTTGAGATAGGGTCTCATGAACTATTTGCCTGGGCTGGCTTCAAACTTCGATCCTCCTGAGTAACTAGGTCTACAGGCATGAACCATTGGCACCCAGCCCCTTTACTTTTTAATTTCTTTTTCATATAGGGTCCCACACTTTTCCGTGGGCTGGCCTATAACCAGGATTCTCCCACCTCCTCCTCCTGAGTTGCTGGAATTACAGGTGAGCACCACCATGCCTGGCCCAAACTGATATTACTGTATGAACCACAGTTGTCAAGTGGTGCTTACCTTAGTCACCAGGGCCCGCTGGGTGGCCAGGCCATGCTGCAAGAACGAGGCACTCTGGGCACTCCCCAGGCTGTACAACACAACCTTTAGCACTGCACCCAAGACGCTCTCCCGGGCATCTGACAGCATCACTGTCTTCAGGGGAGGATATCAGAAATCTAGGTGTTAGAAACTGGGGTGGTTATGGATGGGGACCAGGAAGGAGAGGGGTTATGGAATCAGAGATTCTAGATCACTGTGGTGGGATCAGAGGTCAGGGCAACTGCTGGATCAAGCTGTACCTGCACAATGATTTCTAGTGTATCCAGAACCACCAAGCTGGCCTCCGTCGCCAGGTTCCCATCCACCAAGGCCTCATGTTCCATTTCATCCTTGGTCCTGGAGTGGAGGTGATATCTTATGAAGCCACTCAGAGCCAGATCCCATGCCACAGTGAGCTCTTTCTCTTGGGGCCCAGAGGGGAAGCAGCTATCTGGAATCTGGTCTGAACCTAGCAAATTCCTTCCTGCCTGCAATGGTCTGGATATGGTTTGAATGTCTCCCCTAGCGGGGACGTGTGTTGGAGGTTTGGTCCTCAGGGTGAGAACCAGGGTTTGTGGTATAGCTCAGTGGTAGTGCCTGGCATGCATGAGACCCTGGGTTCCATCCCCAGCACCACATTAAAAAAAAAAAAGTGTGGAAAACAAGGTGTGGTGATACACACTTGTCATCCTAGCACAAGGGAGGCTAAAGAAGCGTCATGAACTTGAGGTCAGCCTGGACTATATAGTGAGACCCTGTCTCAAAAAAAAAAAAAAAGAGCTGGGGACTAGCAGGATGTCCTTAGGTCACTGTGGGTGTGCCCTCATGAGGGGTTAAGGTTGTTTTCCCAGGAGCCCCAGAACAGAACAAATAAAAAGAGCAAACCTGGTGGCGTGGCTCAATTGGTAGAGTGCCTGCCTACCAAATATGAGGCCCTGAATTTAAAACCCAGTACCACAAAAACAAAAAACCCCGGCTTCACCCAGCACTCTGGCTCCTGTCCTGAGATGTCTCTTCTTCCTACACTTCTTCCCACTACCATGATACTATCTGTCATTAGGCCCTCAGCAGAGGACAAATTGATGGGGCCACCCTGTTTTAGATGTTCAGCCACCAAACCATGAGCTAAATAAAACTTTTTGCTGGCCATAGTAGCTCACACTTGTAATCCCAGCTACTTGAGAAGCAGAGATCAGGAGGATTGCAATTTGGGGCCAACAGAGACAAAAACTTAGTGAGGTCCCCATCTCAATCAATAACATGGGTATGGTGGCATGCACCTGACAACCCAGATACATGGGAGGTGTAGGTAGGAGGACTATACCTAAGGTCAGTTCTAGGCAAAAACACAAGACCCTATTTGAAAAATAAATAAGTAAATAAACCTCTTGGGGGTTTTTTGCTGTTGTTGTTTTCTATTTCATTTGTTTTACAGTGCTGGGGATCCAACCCAGGGTTTCACACATGCAAGGCAAGCATTCTATCACTGACAAACCTCTTTTCTTTATAAAGTAGCATGCCTCAGGTTAACTTGTTATAGTAACAGCAACAACTAAAAATCAGACCAATCCACTGCCTAGACCTACTTGTCCACACGGTCCGAGGTTTGCCTCCAGTGCGTGATGCTCTTGCGCCACCGAACATTCTCCTGGTTCCCAAACGGGCTCCTTTCTGCGATGCGTAAGCGTGTGTTCATACATGTGTAAACACAGAAGGCAGACGCGAGCTTGAGGACAAGTGCGTAGGTATAAGATACTCACGTAAGATCACTCAGAGGGACACTGGGTGAAGCTGACACTTGCCAGCAGACGCACATATACCCCTAGACACAAATGACATGGGGACAAGAAGGGACGCAGATGTCCATGTGAATTACAGTGACACGTCCACTTTTTGTTTTCTTTCTTTTTTCGCAGTGCTGGAGATTGTACGTGCTCTACCACTGAGCTGCTCCCCCTAGTCCCACACAGACTAAGCATAGCTGACAGAGAGGTGGCCAGCAAGTGGGGATGGGGCCACTGTCCTCTCACCACGGCTCCTCCGCACCATCTCTTGTCGGGCCCCGATGGTGCCCAGGATGGCTTCCTCCAGCCTGGCTTTCATATCTAGAGACTTCTTGAATGTGAGGCTATTGATGCGCTCAAAGGCCTTTCTCCCCTGTGGGTGCAGAAAATGGGGTTCAAGGTGAAGTCTGCCCTTTCTGCTAAGACCTGGGATAGCCCAGTCTATCTGCTGGGCCATTTCCTACTTCCAGGAACCTGTGGTAGCATCTCAGTACCTTCCAAGTTCCCTCCTTCTCTCCCTTCCTTCCTTCCTTCCTTCCCTTTCCTTTCCTCGCTGCTTCTTCTCCCTCCCTCCTTTTCTTCCTTTCCCTTCTTTCTCTCTGTCTCTCCTTTTTTTGTGCAGTGCTAGGATGGGACCCAGGGCCTTGCACATGCTAGGCAAGCACTCTACCACTGAGCTGCACCCCCAGCCCCAAATGCTATTCCTGAAGATACTGTCACCGTATTTCGCAGCTCAGCCATTGAAACACTCCAGCCCTTTATCCTCAGCCTTGCAGGAGCCTGTCACAGACCACCTACCCCTTCACATCCAGCCCATGTGCCCCAGGGCCCAGGACACACACTAAGCCTGCCCCCTCGAACCTTGTACTCAAAGGCAGCCAAACAGAGGTAGAGCAGGTCCAAGAGGCGTCCCAGCTGGGGCAGGGCCAGGTCAGCAGCCCAGCGCTGCAGGAGGGCCGGCTCTGCATTTTTCAGAACCCACAGCACGCACACCAGCAAGGTCCGACTGGACTCAGCGGAGAGGGGACAGCCTGAGCGAGATGCCTGGGTACACAGAGAGGACAATGTGTTGAGTTTTTCTTTTTTTTGGTGGTACCTGGATTTGAACTCAGGGCCTCAGCCTGCAAAGCAAGCACTCTACCATTTGAACCACTCCACCAGCCCAGACAGCGTGTATCTCATGACTGCTTCTTCCTCACTGGGACGGATACTATGGGGACAAGCCTGGTACTTACTGGTGTGGGCCCCTGGGAGATACTGGTCCGGGAGCCAGGGGCCAAGGGGCCACCAGCAATCGCCATGGCCACAGAAGGGTTGATGGTACCTCCAATGTCCCCTTCACCTTCTGTGTCTGAGTCCAGAATGGAGGCCAGTCTTGACCGCTGACCTGGGCCCTCTTGGGGAGAGGTGGGCAGAGAGAAGAATGAGGCCTAGTAAATGTGATCCCCATCTCTCAAACTCCAGAAGTCTTCCCTGACATTGTCCACTCCCTGCCATAGTCCAGGTTGACGTTTCTGTTTGTCTGCTCCTGGGATTACAGGCGTGAACCACTATGCCCAGCCAGTGGGGGTAGGAGGAGTTTTACCTCAACAGTCTGGTCCCTGTTATAGTCATAAGTCTATGATCTTAAAAAGTAACTTCCCATGCCCTGCACAAAACATCATCAAAGATCAGCGGGAGGAGCTGGTGACAGATACGCAAAAGGACTTTCCCTAGAGCCTTTTTTTTTTTTTTTTTTTTTGACACGGGGTCTCATTGTGTTACCCAGGCTGGTCCCAAACTCCGGAGCTCAAGTGATTCTCCTGCCTCAACCTCCCAAGTAGCTGGGGTACTGACATGGGTTGCCCTGGAGACTTCTGAAACAAAAGGTAGACTGAGCTCTGCCACTCAAGCCATGTCTCCAGTCCCAGCCCTGTTTTTTTTTTTTGGTACTGGAGTATGAATTCAGGGCTTTACACTAGCTAGGCAGGCACTCTACCATTTGAGCCACACCTACAGCCCTGTAATTTTTTTTTTATACAACATCCAAAACAGAAGAAAAAATTACAAGACAGGTATTGAGGCAGGAAGATGGGATGGATAAAAGAGAAACAGACATATAGGTGACCACATGTTGAAGTTGCCAAATAAAGATTTTAAAATAAAAATCTAAGGAAAAGAAGGCAAAAATACAAAGAAAGATGGAGAATTTCAACATAATTAGAATCTGTAAAAAAAAAAAATTGGACATTTTACAAATGAAAAATATATGTGAACTTAAGAACTCCATGAATGGGGCTAGGAAAAGGCACAGTTAGTGACCTCAAAGACAAGGGAACAGAAAATTTCCCAATGGAAGCACCATAAGCAAAAAGAATAGAAAAAACAGAAGAGATGTGTGACATGTCAAAGGTCCAACATACGTGTAATTGGAGTCCAGGAGAGAAGAGAGAAACAAGGCAGAAAAAAAGTTCAATAGATAACAGCTGAGAATTTCCCAGTACTGATGAAAAATATCAATCCACAAATCCCAAGTCTGTGCTTTCAACCTCTGTCCTATATTGACCCTCAAAGCTGCCCAGGACTGTTTCCTAAATAAATCAGTGAACGAATAAACGATCACAGAGCTACAAGTTTGCTCCTACCTGGAGGTGCCACACCTTCCCCTCCTTCGGTCCTTTCAGAAGGTATCAAATGCCATAATAATCCCTCTCATTTACTGTAGGCTGATGGTGTGCCAACTTTTCACCTATAACCATGTGGGGGTATGGTGTGGGATGTGGGGGAGGGTGTGGCAATCTACAACTGTCCCCATTTTTACAGGTGAGAAATCTGAGGCTCAGAGAGGTTACTGGGTGGAAGGGCCCCCTGGTAGAACTTGAACTTGCTCTGCTAACCCAGTGTTCGCCCAGCTTTTGCCTCTCCAGCCCTGTGTTATCAGGCCCCCAGATCATGTGACCCCATCCTTCCCCAGCCCCCTGACCAGCAAAGTCATGTAGCCGAGGCAGTGTATCCCGTGCAAGCGACAGCAGCGGCAGGTACAGCTCAGCCACCCTGGCCTTCACGGTGGCATCAGCATAGCGGGGGTCAGTGTCGTGGCTGCAGAGCAGGCTGTGCACGGCACTGATGGCCTTCTTGTGCAATAAGAATGTCCTGTAGGGTAATGGGGTGCTCAGCATGGAGTGCACACGGCTCCTAGACCATCCCACCTGCCCTGGATGTGGACGGGACCTGTGCTCACCCCTCGGCCTCAGGTTCCAGGGCCAGAGCCAGCTCTGTCAGCAGGAGCCCTGCTAGAAAGTGCTGTTGCCGGAATGGCCCGCTCAGCTCAAACATGCTAGTCACCTTGGGGTCTGGGGCCTGGCTGGAGAAGGTGGAGCTCTGCAGAGGATTGGGGAAGAAATTGGGGTGCCTGTGGTCAAGGGTGAAAGGTAAAAGATTCCCAGAAAAGCCATCTTGGAACAGACTGAAGTTAAGTTTCAAGAGCCAGATGAGAGACATTGGGGTTAATTCATCTGGAGGTGACAGCTGGCCTGGAGTTAAAGGTCAGAGGTGAGAGAGAGTCAAACCATCTGTGAGGTGACAGGGCATGGGGTCAAAAGTCAGGAGACTGAGAGGCAGCAGATGGACTATATTCTGAGAGAGAGATTCAGGAATGAGAAGTCAGAAGTTGTTCCTCCTGGGAAACTGCTGAGAATGAGGGACCAGGGGTGAAGGTTCAAAGGTGAAAAGTCAAAGGTCAGTCTACCCGCATAGTGGCCCACTGTGAAAGGGATGAGGGAACCTAGACAGGCTGAAAGTGTGTGGTCCAAGGTCAAGGAAGGAAGACAGAAATGGATGGCAGCCTACCTGGGAGGTGGTGGAGGACACGGAGGGGGAGGGCGAGGCCGGGGGCGACAGGGGGCAGCAAGGGAGGTTGAGGGTCACGTAGTGCTCATGGCTGCATAGGATGCGGGTGAAGTCCATGCGCAAGGTCAGCAGTGTCGCTGGGTTGGGGGCCGACTGCAGCCGTGTGGCCACCTGCAGGGGAGGCATGGTCAGTGGTGATGCCAGCATTGCTCTGTCCACCTGTGGTGCCCATCACCTGTCACCTCATCTGCCACACTCCAGCATGTCCACATCATCTGCCACACCTACATCATCTTCTGCCACACCCTCCCCATGACCCACCACGCCCCATGCCTGCCACATCCTCTCCACATCACCCACCTTGCCCCCTATCATCCGCCCTACACACCCTCCATCATCCACCACCATAGCCACATACATCAGTGACCACACCTACGCCTACCTGCTTGTAGTGAGCTCGGACCAGGCTGAAGACGAAGCCCCGATCCATTAGGGACAGGAGGTCACTGAGGAAGAAGGCCAGGCTGGCATTGAGGCGCTCTGCCAGCTCCGCATCCTGGGGGCACAGGGCCTGTCAGTCATCTCCTGGCTCTTGCCAAGGCCCCCAGCAACCACCATGGATTGCATGATTGCCTCAGAGCCCTGGGTCTACTTGACACCTTCATCTCCAGGGTCTGGGGACCCACAGCCTTCCTTCCTGGTCCTCCTCCCTGAATTCTGTCCCTCCCCCATGTTTCATTCAGGTGCTTTTTCCTTTTTCTCTCATTTAGATTTGAATTACTGACTCCCCTAGGATCTTGACACTCTGTCCAGAGTTCAGAGCTGGCAAAACTACATTTCCCAGCCTCCCTCGCAGCTGAATGTGGCCACATGACAACATTCTGACCAATGAGATTTGAGAGGAAATGAGGTGGCCACTTAAATGGAAGGAGTGGATTTTCTTCATCCTGTTGTTTGAACCCCTGATGCAGCCAGAACCATGGTGAACGATGGCATTCCAGAAACACCCTGGAGTCTCTGTAGCCTCCTTATGTTCAGAAACAAACATTGATTCTGTCTAAAGCACCCCTAATTTGTGCCCTAATTGATACACCCTCAGCAATCATTTGATGAGCATCTACTGTATACGAAGGCCTGTGAATGAGACACAGACACACCCTGCTGCCTGTCCAACTGGCTCTTGTGGGGGAGAGAGACAGATAATAAGCAAAAATTTTAGCAGGGGGCCAGTGGCTCACACCTATAATCCTAGCTGCTCAGGAGGCAGAGATCAGGAGGATTACAGTACAAAGCCAGCCTGGGCAAATAGATCATGAGACCCTATCTCAAAAAAACTCATCACAAAAAAGGGCAGGCAGGGTAGCCAAGCAGTAAGAGCACCTGTTTAGTAAGTGTGAGGCCCTGAGTTCAAACCTCAGTGCTGACAAAAGAAAAAAGAATAAGAATTGTAGATAATACTGTGTGTTCAAAGGTGATAAAACAGGGAGATATTTCCACGGATTCCCTAAGCATGACAAAAGGCTAAAGGGAGAAATGCATTCTGAGTAGTGGGAATGGTCAGTGCAAAAGCCCTGGGGCAGGATATGCTGGGGAAGTGTGAGGACAAGAAAGGAGGCCTATACATACTGAGTCCTGGCTGGTAGCCTTGTTCTACCCTTGTCCTCTTGTCAGCCACTCTATAGCTTGATTCCCAGCAACCCCAAAGAAACAAAATACATTCAGCGCCTAGACTCTGAATCCACAGGGATAGGCAGAAGGTCTGCCTTGAACATGGAGCCTGATACAGTTGGTGCTCAGTTAATGTCAAGGGAATGAATGAAACTCCAGTGGACGATCACCAGTGTCCCATTGGTGGCTGCAATGCACAGGTTTTCTGTAGCATTCCTCCTCCCTGGGATCTGCTGTGGGGGTGGTTTCTTCATAGTCTGGGAAACCAGACCCCCTGGGAACGTCAGACCTTGAGAAGGCTCCAGTAAACCAAGGTCAAAACCTTCTAAACCAGCCCAGAGGTCAGCGGCTTTGTGCAAGGACCAGCCTGGGTCAGACTGGTATTTCCAAAACCTGGAGTGTTCCCATTTAATCCTGAAATTCCACTTCTCTTTCAAAATCAGACAAGCTGGCCTCAGAAGACACAGTTCCTGCAGGGATTTGCTTGTCTGGAGCTGACAGAAGGTTGCCCCTGTCTAAAGGGAACATGCTTTTTTGGTTCCCCATTAAGTCCCACTCTCCCAAGCGAAGTTGGGCTTGAATTCAGATCCTCATTCCATTCCTTTCTGGTTGTGTGGTACTACCCAGTCACTCCCCAACAGTAAAATGGAGAAAAAAACTTCACAAGTGACTGTGTGAATTTAAAGATACAATCCATCCGAAATACCTAGATACACAGTAAGTGCTAAATAAATGCTCCATGAATGCTATTATTTCCGCCTTACCCCTGTGGGGGACTGGAATTGATTATCCTGGGCCTGGTCTCAGAATAGCGACATCCATTTATTATGCACTTACTGGGTACCAGCACTGTGCTAAGAGCTAATGGGTCAGTCCTATAACCTCCTTGTTCTCACTTGTTTCTTCCTTGCTTACTCTACTCCAGCCACACTGCCTAGGCACAGTCCTGTCCCAGGGCCTTTGCATGGGCTGTTCCTCCTGCCTTTAGGCAGACATTCCCCAAAGATTGCTCCCTCTCCTTGTTAAGCTCAGCCTCACACTCAGTTCCACAAGGATGAAGAGTTTGGTCTGTTTGGTTTACTGCTGTTCACCAGCACAGGGTGCTCAGGAAACAGACTGTGAATGAACAGACTCATCCTGCACACGGGATCCCTGGTCTGGCAGCAAGGGTACACTGGGCAGGATTGGCACCCATACCTGGCTGGCTCCATACCTCCCCTCAGGCCACTTCCCTCATTGAGGCCCAGAATCCCTCACCTTGTGGACCCGGGTGATGACCTCCAGGCCCACAGAGCCCACTAGGGCCGCAATGTCATCCAGGAAGCGCCCAGGGAATCGCAGCTTGCGGGGCGTGTCCAGCCGCTGGCCCAGAAGCAGGTGCAGGGCCATACTCTTCACCTGGGGGTGGAGCAAGCGGGCTGGGGGCGGGGCTTGATGGGCTGGGAATTGAGGGCCTTGCAGGAAGGGGCGGGGCTTTAGCGGCAAGGAAGGTGAACATAAGGGGTTCTGGGGAGTGGGCGGGGCTTGAATAAACCATGGGCAGAGCAGGAGCGAGTGGGAGGGACTTAAGAAGTCTGTGGGCGGGGCAGAGGGCGGGGCCTGAGGCCGAGGGTCCGTGGTGACTCTCATCTCTACCTAAGAGGGTTTTGGTGATGCTGGGGATGGAACCCGGGGCCTCGCACTTGCTAGGCAAGTGATCAACCAATGGGCCACACCCCGGCCCTGTAAGCGTCCTTTGAGGCCAGTGCTAGGGGTGTCAGGCGCAATCCGGGCTTTTCTCTGGGGGATCCCCGGAGCTCGCTCTCACCATGAGCTGGAAGAAGAACCACGCGTGCTGCAGGACGGCCTCACGAACCGCGCTGCCGCTGACCACCCACTGCAGAGCCAGCTCCTCGTGAAGCAGCTGCGGGGAGGGACAGGGGTCACGGAGAGCCAGGCGCCACCGCCTCCCGCACCCCTACGGGAGGGCCAGCCAGGGAGGATACAGCTGAAGGGCTGTGGGGGGCGTGTAGGAGCAGCAGGAGGCCATGCAGAAGAAGGGACAAGAGGAGTCCAAGTGCCTGTTCCCTGCGTCTGCAGACCCAGCTGACTCCGGTTGCGGGGAGGAGCTCTGGATCCCTTTGCTGGGGCCCGGGACAAAAATCGAGCCACCCATCCCCCACCCTCCACTACCTTGTGCACAGTGGGTCTTGGCTGGGTGGCCGGCGGGGCCGAGGAGGAACCCTCGAGGTAGGAAGAGGCTCGGCTAGAGCTGCGGTCGATGGCCTAGGATGGGATGGAATGAAGAGGATGGGATGGCGAAAAGAGTTAATGTGGGCGAGGTGGCGATGATGTGGATGAGAGAGAAAGGAGTCCACACGAAGAAGGAAGGACTGGTCCACAGGGGGCACATGGGTTAGCACAGACAGGGAAAAATGCTCCATGTGGATGCGTGCCATGGTTTGAATGTATTCCCTACAAAAATTCACATGTCAGAAAGTTAATCCCCAAAGCCACATGGGGATGGTATTTGGAGGTGGGACCTCTTGAGGCCCCATGATCACGTGAGTGGCTCTATAAGAAGAGAAAAACCGGGCCTAGTAGTGTACATCTGTAATCCCAGCACTCAGGAGGCTAAGGCAGGAAGATCTCAAGTTCAAGACCAGCCTGAGCTACATAGTGAGACTGAGATTGTGTTTCAAAAAGCCAAGTGTTGGGGGTGTAACTCGGTGGTAAAGTACCAGCTGAGCATGTTCCACTCCCAGAACCTCAAAAATTAAAAAACAAAGAAAGAAAGGTGCACATATGGACCTGTAGCAAAAAAGGTCAGGGAATGGCACATGGGTGGAGCATCAAAGAGCATGAACAAAAGATGGCCAAAGGAGTGGATGAAACCAATGTAGACAATTGATGAAGCATGTGTGATCAGAAGTAAGTGTGAGTACAGATGAGGACACAGAGTGTGGGAGTCAGAAGGGACAGAGAGTAGGAAGATGGAGGATGAAGGGTGGTCAGATGGTGAGAAGAGCCCCGGGTTCCAGGCCTGGCCCTGCTCCAACCCTCCTTGGGGCCTCCTGGGGCCTCAGTGTCCTTATCTGTGAAATGGGTACAGGAAGGGCTCAAGCTCCACTCTCCCCAACTCCTTTGCTGGTCAGGAGGTGAGGTACCTGGCCAGGAAAGGAGGTCCACTGATGGAGTTGGCACTGCCCCTGGGCCTTGAAGACCTTTCAGCTGCCATGGCCCCAGTCTAGCCCTGGCTCTCCAATATGCATGAGATGGAGCCAGGTATAGTGGCTCCCATCTATAATCTCAGCACCTGGGAGGTGGAGGTAGGAAGAGTAAGAGTTCAAAGCCAACTCAGGCAAAGTTTGGGAGACTCTGTCAAAAACCAAAAAACAAAAGGGCTAAAGGTGTGGGTCAGGGTAGAGCACTTGCTTAGTAAGCTGCAGGCCCTAGGGTCATCCCCAGCACCATCAAAAACAGAAACAAGAAAAAACTTAGGGGACAGGGTCAGGCAGGGTCTATCAACCAAGACTTCCAGATCCCCAGTAATCCTGGAGAGGCCTGCCCAAGCTACTCCTACCTGTGTTGCTAACAGTTCCCCCAGGACCTTCACATGGGTTCAAGTTGTTCTGGTGATAAGGTGCCAAGCTGGCATGGCCTGAGGCCTGACGTGTAGGACACAGCCCTCTTATCACCTGCTCTCCTGAACCTGGTGCCAGTCTGTATGCCTGTCCCTATGCTGAGAACCATACCCATCTTATCCTTCAGGTCCCAGCAAAAAATGTCACTTTTCTGGAGAGGACCCCAGATCACCTAGAGGGAAGGTGGCACCCTGTTCTGTTTCTTTTGTTTGTTTGTTTGAGACAGGGTCTCACTATGTAGCCCAGGCTGGCCTCGAATTCAGTCTTCTTGCTTCAGCTTCCCTAGTGCTATGATTACAGGCGTGAACCACTATGCCTTGCTGATAAATTCAATTTATAAATGGGGAAATGGAGACTCAGAGACAGGCAGCTGATTGCCTGGGACACAGGACAAGGCCTCAACAAAGCAGAACTTGAACCCAAGTCTGTTCCGAGGCAAAGTCCTTCCCCACAGCGGTGCCTGGGAAGGGACAGGGTTGGGGAGGAGCCCTTTGTCTGAAAAAGGGTGGGGATCCCTGGGAGTCCAATACTGTACCCTTGGCACCATCCAAGTTTCTGGTGCCAAGGGGACAGTTGAGAGTCCCCTGAACAGAGGTAGATGAAAGACAGGGAACAGGCCATGCAGGGCAGTGATGATTTGCATACTTTTTACATCCCATTTGCATACCACACCAGGGCTTTCTGTCTCTGAGCAGGCTGTGGCCTATGTTTTCTTTTTAATTTTAACTTTTTGTGGTGCATGTTAGGCAAGCGCTCTACCACTGAGCCCCTCTCCCCAGCCCAGGTGGTGGCAGCAAAAGGCCTGTTAAGGTGATCCAGGGAGTCCTAAAGCACAGATTCCACAGGCAAGAGGGGTCCACTGCCTCCCTCAGGCAGTCTCTCTGGGTTAGTGGGCTGCAGCCAGGAAAGTGGTAGGAGCACATGCTGAGGTGGTGTCATACGCGGGTAGGGAGGGCACCTGTCTGGGGTCAGCCCCGCAGTAAGGGAGCGCCCGCCGCAGCACAGCCTTGCTGCCTCCCGGAGCATAAGCAGAATTCACCCAGGAGTGTGAGCGATCGACGCCCTGGAGATACACAGATAAGTGATAGCGTCCTGGGTGGAGGGCACAAAAGCAGCACGAGACACTGAGCGTTGGCGCTGCACTGGACTGGCTGTGGGCCACGCTGGAGAGTGTGATCACGTGCATGAGTGCGTGAAGTGCACGCGTACACGCACTGTGTGTGTCCACGGAGTGCATGCGCACATGAACCCATTACATATGAACATGAGGTGCACGTGTCTATGCACCCATGTTTATATGCACGTGGGATGTGGGTAAACTTGTGTACGTTCGTGAGTAGGGTGTAAGAGTGTGTAGGGGGTACGTGTGTCTATGTATCTGCATACATATATACATGAAGTATATATGACTACACACCCATGTATATGCGCAACCTGGTACATATGTGTACGCAACTGTGTAGGTACGCACATGGGCAACACTTGCCTATGCATACGAGTACGCATGCGCAACGGCTACAGGGCCCCCCCATCCACAAAATACGCATGCGCTGTTCCTGCGCATCCAGCTGCGCATGCGCACGGGGTACAAGCGCCTAGGCTCCCGCCACGTGGCGCACACACTCCCCTACCACCACATCAAGCTCCCGCCCCCGTCCTCGGGCCAGTCACGGAGTGCAGAGCCCGGTACACAGCCTGACCACAGCCCTCAGGCTATGACAGCCACCGCCTGTGGCCACGCAAGCCTTCTTGTGAGTTGTGGTGTTGGTCAATTCCCGTCCTCCATCAGCCGACTTGGAAGCCATGGCCCCCTCGTCCTACCTTGGTGGCCAGGATGCGGGAAACCTCGTCGTCCACAGAGCCAGGGGCCACGGCCAGGTCCGGGTTGCTGCTACTGATGCTCTTAGAACGGGCTAGGTAGAGGCTTGTGGGGCGGCCAGAGCCGTGGGCCAGTGTGGCAGCCTGCACGGTCACTAGAGGGGCCCCTGAGGAGAGAGGGAATAGCGTTATAGGGTTAGCCGCCTGCCATCCGTCCTTGGCCCCAAACCCCTTCCTAATTGGCAGCTCTTGATGAAGTCATTTTCCTTTCCTCAGTCTCCAGGTTTCCATCTGTAAAATAGGTATGAAAATGGCTCTTGCCTCACAGTAATGTTGAGGCTCACATGCTTCCCACACATGGGTTAGTGCTTATTGTTCTTTAATAAATGAAAAATCCACCTTTCTTTTGTTTTCATGTGGTGCTGGGGATGGAACCAGGGCTTTGCATATGTTAAGCATGTGCCCTATCATTAAGCTACCTCAGTCAAAATCCAACATTACTGAATACTTACTACATACCAAACGTGTTGTACAGATTACTGTCACTTATGACTACAAGCATCCCCAGGAGGTATGGGGTGGATACTGTTAATATCCCTGTTAGAAAATATGAGGCATGGAAGAGGCAGAGAGACGCTCAAACACCAGTACAGGGTTTATTGTCTAGGCAGGAGCGCTGTGGAGGGAGACCCCAGCAAGAGAGCTGGAGCCCACTGCCACACACGGGCTTGGGCTAGGTATAGGGGGCTAATGGCAAAGTACCAGGAAGGTCACTAAGGGATACCATTGCTGGGCAACCAAGAAAGATAAGTTGTAGTTAGGTTACTGTCTGCTCAACTGTCCTTGGCACCCATCCAGAGATAAAGGTTAACAACTGTCCCTTTGTCAGTCTTTGGGGTTGGGTGGGGAGTTTCTAGTAAGCCACCTGCAAGGGGGTGGGGGTCTGATCTTAACGTGGCTGTCCTCGCTGTTAACCCCAACAATCTCAGTTTTACAAATGGGAAATAAGCTCAGAGAGGTGAAGTTATTCACCAAGGGCCACAGAGCTTATAGACAGCAGAGCAGGGATTCAAATCCTGGCAGCCTAGTTTGAGCCCCAGCTCCAAGCTATTGAAGATACTTACTGACTGGCTGAATCAGCTGCCAGTTAAGTGAATGGAGACCACACCCCTGGGGCTGGGCATAAAGTAGGTGAAATGTTACCTCTTTTGCAAGTTGCCCAAAACCAGCCTATGCAACCCCAGGGCCTTTGCACATTTGATTCACTTTGCCTGATTTGTTCTCCTCTTAGATTTTTCCTGTGTCACAGGGTTTTTCACCAACACTTACCACCTGGGAGGCTGGGCTCAGTGCCAGGGAGGCGAAAGGCATAGTGGACGTAGGCAGCCAGCAGCGGACAGTGACCACGGGCATCCTGGACCGCCTCCAGGCTCCGGTGGACAAGGCTGACTACATGGGCCATTGCTTCAAAGGCTCCACGGCCCAGGTTCACTGTCGGGCAGAGCAGAGGTCAAGTTCTAGGGCCCAAGGCCTTGTACCTCCCCACTCACCTTCCAGAGGGAGGCACATGAGAGTTCAGGAACTCATGTGAGGATTTGTTCTGGGTACAAGAGACTAGTGGCCATTTTTCAGATGGGGAAAACTGAGGCCAGAGAAACGAGCCCTAGGAGGAGTCAGGGTCACTTTCTGGACGGGCATACCGAGGTCTGAGGCCACACCCACTCACCCATCTGGCCGCCAATGACAGGGGGCCGTATGATCAGATGCACAAGCTTGTCCATGACGTGGTGGGAGAAGGCCACCAGGGGCTCGGGGCTGGCGAGGCGCAGCGTGGTGAGGCTGGTACGCAGCTCCTGCTCCACAGTGCTCTCACTCACCATGGTGTCCTTGAGCCGGAAGGGAAAGGCCCCCTCCTCCAGGACATGCACCAGGGTGAAGAACTTATCCAAGTGGGGATCCTGGGTGGGGGAACATGGGGTGAGCAGAACTCCAGGTTCAGCAACGCCACCCCCACCTGAGTCAGCAGCCTCCCCAAGAGTCCAGCGCAGCTGACCAAAGTCACGTCCATGGCCAGACCTCCCTTGGCCAGTGGCAACTGTTGCCCAATCCTAGTGCAAGCAGGAGGGGAGCAGGGCTGGATTCCTGAGTTCTCACCCCACCCCATACCTGGGGGTGCACAGAGGACGCAGCTGTCAGCTCCACGCTGAACACGCCCTTGTGGCCATCCACCCAGCGCATGCCCGGCAGCGCCACCTGCGGGAGAGAGGCACCAGGTGGGCACTGCCTGACCCTCCCCCACCGATCAGGCCACCATGGGGCGGTAGCCCAGGCCATTGCGACACTATGGCCTGAGCACAGCCCAGCCTAAGGGAGCAGCTGGGCACCCTGCCCCCAGCCTAGTCCTAATGGACTAAGAGGGTCCACAGGGCAGGCTGGAAACCACGTGCTCTCGGGGGAAATAAGAGAATGGGGGTGAACTTGAACTTGAGAGTGATGGAATATCAAGACCTCTGGGACATTAATGAGCAGCTGGAAGGGAAGAGGGGCAATGTGAACCTCAGTTGGGGCAGTGGAGAGTGACTGTCCCCCAACAGTGGCTAGTTGTGGGGTGGGGGATGGAGTGAGCAGGCCCCCAGGGCATTGATGGAAGTCAGGCAGGCAGCTGGGGTGCTCATGGGTCTGGTGCATTGATGAAGGTGGGCTAAAGGTGACAGGGCACAGGAGTTGGGGTCCGGGCACATACGTCGGGTGTGAGCACAGAGTAGCTGGGTGGGGGCTGGTCCACTGACACCGGGAGGCAGAAGGGGCCGGTCCGCAGGCGGCCATGGTGCAGCAGCGGGATCCACTGGGGAGAGACAGGTGTCAGGTCAGGGGATCTGGCCCTGGGGAAGGGGGCCGGCAAGGCGAGGGGGCGACATGGCTCACCGTGAAGCCCACGGGCGTCTCCAGGGCCGTGCCTGGCCGGGGCTGGCAACTGACATGGTAGAAGGTGAAGAGCAGGTGGTGATTCTCGGTCACACAGGCTGGAAGTCGTAGCTTGAACTCCTCGTAGAATTCAGGGGACCTGGCAGGGCAGAGCCGGGGGTCAGTTAGGGGGCCGAGATGGCCCCTGATTGCTTTGCTGTCTACCACTGTTGCCACACTATACCTGGCTCTGCCTCCCTCACTAGCATAACCAGAGCCCATGCCCCTCTGGAATCTTACCTTGACCCCACCTTGTGCACCAGTAGGGTCTTGAGAACTATTTGCCTGGTCTGGACTCAAACCACGATCCATCTGAGCTCAGCCTCTGAAGTAACTAGGATTACAGGCATGAGCTACCAGCACCCAGCTTCTCTTTTTTTGCAATAGGGTCTCACTATGTAGCCCAGGCTGGCCTTGAACTCGATCCTCCTGCCTCAGCCTCCTGAATACTACAATTACAGGCATTTGCCACCACACCTGGCTCGCTTTCCCCTCTAAACTGCCATTCCTGTCTGTCCCACGCACTTGTTATGATAGACCACTGGTGTGAAGGCCTCGCGGGTGAATTCGCTGCAGCTGGACTTGCCGAAGATGACCTGGGGGGATTGGGGACATGAGGGAGCCACCAGACATGTCCCCTCCCTCACCTCCCCCAGGGCAGGGCACAGCCACTGACCGGCAGGGCCTGGCTGGGGTCCTCGCCCGCCATGAACTGGATGCGGATGACGAGGTTGCGCACAGAGCCCTGGCGGCTGCTGAAATTGAGGCTGTGCGGGTACACGTACAGCAAGTTCCTGGGGACAGCGAGCAGCGGGGTGAGAGGGGCAGGGGACCCACCACATGAGCATATGGGCTGCCAGAACCAGCCAGGCCAGGGACACAGTCATGGGAAAGTGGGTCACATGGCTGGGACATCAGGGGCAGGGTGAGTGGCAGTTCTAGGTGACAGGTGGGATCTGTGATTGGCAGAGGGTGGGGGACAGACAACCACCCCCAAAACACAGATGGAGCACAGGAGGTAGAGGGCAGGGACCAGATGGGCGCTGAGGGTCAGAGTTCCAAGAAGGTGGTCCAGGTGGCCATCAGTCAGGCTGACCTGTCACCCAGGCCTAACTGCCCTTCCCCCCCAGGAAAGACCATTGGTGTTATGAGGCCTGTTTCTCAGATGGGGAAACTGAGGCCAGAGTTGGAAGCTGGGGATGAGATCCAAGTACTGCCTCCCTTCCCTAGGGGAAGCTTTGTGCAAGTCCCGAGCTCCCTCTGTGCCTCAGTTTCCCTATCTGTATAATGAGGGCATGGTGCCTTCCAGCTCAACCTTTATAACAACATCGATGATAAATAACCACGAAGACAATCATTGCACCAAACACTTATGTGGCACCTACTGTGTACCAGGCTCTGGTCTAAGCACTCAGTGTAAAATAACTCATTTGCTTTTAGGGGGAGGCTGTAGCACAGTTTGAACTCAGAGCCTCGTGCTTGCTAAGAAGACGCCCTACCCTTGAGCCAGGCCCCAAGACCTTGGTGGTCTCAGACCTTGATTCTCCTACCTATGGTTCCCACTAGCTGGGATCACAAAGTGTGTCACCATGGCTTATTGGTTGAGATGGGGTCTTGCTAACTATTTGCCCCAGCTGGCCTTGATCCATGATCCTCCCATCTATGCCTCCCAAGTAGCTGGGATTACAGGTGTGACCACCACACCTGGCCCCATTTTACAGATCATTTGCCCATAGTCATCCAGGAAGTAAAACGGCAGTCAGCAATGACCAGAACATAGATGGGTCCTGGAGTCAGACTGTGAAGCCTCAGGAAGAACTCTGCCACCTGTACCTATGACCCCAGCTGTCAAATCAGGTCAACAGAGCCCCCTGCACCAGAGGCTTGTGGGAAAGGTACAAGGAGAGCAGAATCTATAGGGAGCCTGCAACTGCTCTAGGCAAACCATTGGCTCATAGAACCCTCACTATAATTACTGTCACTGCTACTGTGTCTGTACATAGGTGGGGAAACTGAGGCAAACCATGTGGAGCCTCAGAGTCCCTCACTAGACCTGTCTTCACCCAGTGCCCCCAACCCACAGTTGGCCCTGAGCCCCAGCCAGCGTGATTCCAGCGTGGCCCTGCAGAAATCTGCCTGACGCAACCATTAAGCATCCGCCAGTCCCTTGTGCAACAAGGCTGGCCAGTTAACCATTGACCGGGGTTAATGGCAGGCTGGGGACATAAAAGGTGGTGGCAGTGGTGCTGTGACCACACCTCCCAGACCTTCAGCCATGCCCGCACTTGCTCTGTGCCTTCTGTGCGCCCTGGCAACTGTGGCCCGGCCTGTACCAGTGGCCCCCCCGGGTGGCCCAGAGCCGGCACAGCATGAAGAGTTGACACTGCTGTTTCACGGGGCCCTGCAGCTGGGTCAGGCCCTCAATGGCGTGTACAAGTCCACAGACGCACAGCTGATGGAGGCCGGGCGCAGCGTGGGCCTCTATGACCGTGCACTGGAGCTCCTGGGACTTGAGGTCAGCCAGGGCCAGGATGCAGCTCAGGAGCTTCGCACAAGCTTGTTGGAGATGCAGGTGGGCACTGCAGCTGGGGTGTTGTGGGGTGGAGAGGAGTGTAAAAACAGTTCATGTGTAGATGGTCCAACAGCTGAGGTTAGCCCAGAATAGAGGCGTGTCCAGCGACAGAAGACTGTCAGTGATAAAATCAGGCAAGTCCTGGGTGAACAGGACAAACTGGCCATCCTGTTAATGCCTGCTTATCTATTGAGCAGACAGAAGAAGATGCATTACAAGTGCAGGCGGAGGCCACAGCCCAAACGCTGGGGGAGGTGGCCCAGGCCCAGCAAGAGCTGCGGGACAGCATTTGGCGGCTAGAAGCCCAGCTACGGGGCACCTGGCTTGGCCATACCCGCCAGGAGCTTGAGTCCTTAAAGGTAAGAGGCTCCCAGTCCTGGGGAGGCATCTGTACCCGAATTTCTGGCCAGAACTCACTTCAGAACCTTGAGCCACAGACACCTCCCAGCTCTATGGCCTCTATCCTGAGTGACCCTGGAAAAAACCCATGTGCCTTCCCATACCTCAGTTTCCCCATTTGTAAATAAGGGCAACAGCTGATTGAATTCAGAGTAAAGCCAGGGACTCAGTGCAGGGGCAGGATACACATATAGGTGTTCAATTAATGCTGATTACTGGAGTATCCAGCAGCATGTCTTGTGCCCTCCATAAGTATCACTGGTGCTGCTTTCACAAGTCACGTGATGTTCATAATCCCAGAAAGGAAGCCCTACCTTAAAACCCATTTTACAGATGGGAAAAACCAAGGCCAGAGAGTGTCAGTGAATTGCCAAGTCACACAGATGCAACAGGGGACCCTGAGTAGGGTCAGGGGGTACAGGGGATGGGAGGTAAGCCCCACCACCCCCACTAAGGTTCTTATCGTGACCCCACAGGCTCATGCTGAGAAACAGAGCCACCTCGTGTGGGCCCTCACGGGCCACGTGCAGCGGCAGAGGCGAGAGATGCAGAAACAGCAGCACTGGCTGCGCCAGATCCAGGGAAGGTGAGTGTGGTGGGGGGGGGGGTGTCTGGCACACAGGGCAGCAGGATCCGGAGGGATGGTGCACAGGGCAGCTGGAAGGTGCCCCCAGCCTTGACTGAACCCTATCTCCCTCCACAGACTCCACACAGCAGCACTACCAGCCTGAGCCTGCCTGGAGGGAACCAAGGACCAGTCACGTCGCAAGGGACGCTTCACGCGGCCCCTGTGCAGGGAGGAGCTGCCTGTCCACTGGGCCGGCCAGGGCACCCGACTTGTGGCCATGGAGCAGAGACACGAGCAGGCGGGGTCAAGGAAGGAGAGGAGGGGTGGGAGAAAGACATGTGCCCCTTTGTGACCACACCCCGCATTAAAGCAGAAAAGTGGCATGTCACCCTGCGTGTCTGTATGCATCTGTGAGAATGGGGGGCCCCCTCCCTGGTGCTGCACTGGCCCGAGGCTGTACCTGTAGCAGGTGTGGGGCGCATAGACCTCACGAGCTGGGAACTCCAGGATCTCCTTGGTGGGCCGGCCCCTGGGGTCAGGATAGGGCTTGACATGAAGCAGCTCAGGGGACAGGCAGAAGTGGGGGCTCTCAGGGGCCGGGGAAATGTCGATCTTCAGCTGAGCTAGGGAGGAGAGAACAGATTTGCACCAGGAGCCTCCTGGCCTGGGGCACCCTGTGGCCTAGATTTGGGGCTCTGCTAGTCACTGGCCAGGCATCAGTGGCTCACACCTGTAATCCTACCTACTAGGGAGGCTGAGCTCAAGAGGAGTGAGGTTTGAGGTCAGCCTGGGCAAACAGTTTCTGAGACCCCCATCTCCAAAACAATCAGAGCAAAATGGACTGGAGGTGTGGCTTAAGTGGTAGAGCACCTGCTTTGCAAGTGTGAAGCCCTGAGTTCAAACCCCAGTGCCACCAAAAGAAAAAAAAAATTACCTTCAGCATCTGTTTCTCTCTCAAGATCCATGTTCCCCCTGCCCATGTCTCCCACTGACCTACTTATTCTAGCTCGCATTTGCTGCTGAGGTTGGGAATTGAGGTCACAGCCATGGATGGCACAATAGGTATTAATGTGGGTTTGCTGAGTGACTGTGTGAGAGCAACACCTCTTGTCTACAAGGTGCATCACGAACCGGTCACAGGGCGCAGGCGCCGCAGCAGAGATGATGGCCGTCGCATGTCCGCTAGGAATTTGAAGAGATCCTCATCACTGAGCCGTTCAGCCTCCTGCACAGAGCGGGTCCCTGTAAGCCAGGGCCAAGGGGCTGGAAGTCCCCAGGATGGATGTGGCCACACGGGGTGGGGAGAGTCCCTGGGTCCCCCTCCCCACAAGCTCCTCTGCCCTGCAGGCAGGACACCTGCTTGAAGAAGTTGGTGACAGTCAGTGTGGCCGGGCGGAAGCTAGAGAAGCTGCAGGCATCGTCCCCGCTGTTTGCTCGGTCCTGGGGCCCCCGACGGCGGCGCTCAGTCCAGGCAGGTCGGCGCTCTAGGGGAGATGATGAGGTGCTGAGAGCCAGGTGGAGGGGCAGAGCCGCGACTTACGTGTGGTTCCGCGATCCGCCAGCAGAGGACGCGCGCCCCACCCGCGGCTGGCCCCGCCCCTCTCGGGAGGCCCCGCCCCTCACCGCCTTCCGAGTCCGAGTCGCGGTCAGCCTGCCCCGCGCTGCTCACGATGTTGGCCAGGTGCACGGCCGTCCAGGCGAAGGGCATGCGGTAGCGCCCCAGGCGGGTGCAGAACTGCTCGGCGGCCAGGCGCAGCTTCTCCAGCTTCTCTTTGTTCTGTGGGGACAGCCCCGTCCCCATGGACTCCCCGCAACTGGCCTGCAGGTCCCGCACCTGCCCTCCGCACCGCCCCCCCCCCACGCCCTGCCCCGCGCGTACCTTGGCTGTGTCCACCTCCTTCATCACCATGTAGGGTTCGCAGCACTCGCTGATGTCCCCTTGCTGCAGAACCTTCTCCAGCTGCAGGGCAGGAGGGCCCAATGAGATCCCCTTCATCCTTCCTTGGCCTCCTGGACCTCTGCCGGACCCCACCACCACCACCACCATCCTGCTGCTGGGGATCAGCCCCGGGCCTCATGCATTTTAGGCAAGGGCACTGTCACTGTGCTACACCCATAGGCCATGCTAGGACTCTCACTCCAGTGTCTCCCGTGGCTCCCACTGTCCGTGAGATCAAGTTCTAGCACACTTCCTGTCAGCAGCTACCCTCCAGGCCGGTCCCAAACCCCAAGCTCCTGCCTACCTTTATTTTTACTTATTTATTTCTGGTGGTTATGGGGGGGCTTGAACTCAGGTCTGTGCTCTGCCACTGTAGCCACACCCTCAGCCTTTTTTGCTTTAGTCATTTTTCAAATAGGGTCCACTATTTTTGCCCAGGCTAGCCTGAACCTCCACCCTCCTACTTACATATCCCCAGTAGCAGGGATTCAAGGCAGGAGCCACCATGCCCAGCTGCCAGCATATCTTTCTCTAATGATACTTTTCCTCTCTCTCTCTCTCTCTCTATCTCTCTCTCTTCCTCTCTCTCCCTCTCTCTCTCTCTCACCAGGTATGGAACCTGACATGCTGGACAGGCATCCTACCACCAAGCTATGCCTCTAGCTCTATCTACTTTTCCTACTTTTCCTGTGTTAGTGTGTAAACAGGGATCATGGTTCTGGGTCATGAGAGCTGGACTCCATCGTAACAACACAGGGGTTGTGGGAGGACCGGCACGTCCCTTACCTGAAACTGTTTCAGTGTCCCCATCTGGAAAATGGGGACCATATTAACCCTGACCCTGTGAAGCCCGACCAACCATGAAAAGGCCCTGCCCGCGGGAGCTCAATTCATTTCATTACATAATACAGTGGAAGGTTTGGGGAAAGGAAACCCGACCTCACTCCCGGAAATAGAAAATCGCAAATGAATGTGCCGACTAGTCTTTCCTGCACTGCTTAGCTGAGCAAGTCTCAAAAAACATGTTTAAGGACTGGGCACAGTGCCTCATTACCTGTGATCCCAGCTACCTGTGAGTGGGATAAGAGGATCACATTTTGAGGCTAGCCCATGCTAAAAGTTAGTGAGACCCCATCTCAACCAATGAGCTCAATGAACGGTAGTGCATGTCTGTACAGGATCCCAGCTATGTAAGAGGCAGAGGTAGGGGGATCACAGACCGAGGCCAGCCCAGGCAAAAATGTGAGACCCTACTTGAAAAAATAACTAAAAGTGCTGGGGGGAGGGGCATGGCTCAAGTGGTAGAGCTCCTGCCTGGTAAGTGCAAGGCCCAGAGGGGTTTTTTTTTGACATTAACAAAAAAAGAAAATTAAAAAATAAAAATTTTAACATCCACTGATGAACCTCCTGATAGTGTCTCACTTGTAACCCTGAACCTCTGGCCTGTTGGGTGTGCCTTGGGGGCCTGGGGCCATCCACCCTTGGGTCTGGCTCGGTTGTCACTTCTCCTTGGAAGCCCTCCATGATTTCTCCCCCATTCAGTTTGGGTCAGTTGTCTCCCCTGGGTTCCTCTAGGATCCTCCTTCTCAGTGACATGTCTGTCTCATTCCACAAAGGCAGGGACCAAACCTGTGGTGTTCCCCATTCTCCCCCCACCTGCCCAATCCAGCAGGCACCTTGATAACCAGGAAGATGTCAGGTGAGGGGTAAGTCACAGAAAAGATGGCGGAGCGTGCCAGAGTGGAGATGGCGGGGTGGGTGCCGTGGGCCCGAAGCAGCCCCTTCATGGAGTCTGAGTTCAGGTCAAAGTAGAAATTTTCTGAAATCTGAGGACATGAGTAGCAGCAGCTGGGTCACCGCCTCCAGGAAGCCCAACCCCCTCCCCCACAACAAGGAGGAAGAGGGGGAGGAAGCAAAAGAAAGAGGGCTCCTACCTTCTTTTTCTCCCGCACATCATACAGGGCCAAAATGCCAAAGATGGGTTCAATTTCTATCTCAAACCTGTGGATAAAAGGGGAACTCTCCCTGACATCCCCATTTTCCACAAACCCCACCTCCTCTTGAGGACCAAGAAGGGGGAGCTGTGGAGAGGGGTCTCTGATTCCCTCTGGGTACAAGAGAACCAACATTTAAGGGCTTGCAGGAAAGGTGTGTCTCATTGTGCACACACGGAGTTTCTTCTACCTGGAACCATGGTCTTGATCAGCTGGCTCACGGAGGCAGCTCCTGGTACAATCACTGCCCCATCTAGAAGTTCCCTACTCCTGGACCACCCTGTCCCACACTCTGGTATGTCCCCTGTCACCCTGAGTTGAACCCTGTCCTTGCTTGCCTGAAGGGCCACCACACCCTTCTCCTTGTCCTACTCTGCTTGGGTGGCCCCTACACACCTAGTGCTTCCTAAGGGAGCAGCTTTTTGTTCTGGGCTTTTTTTTGGTGGGGTTTGAACTCAGGGCTTTGTGCTTGCAAAGCAGGAGCTCTACCACTTGAGCCACTCCTCTGATCCGTTTTGCTCTGGTAATTTTGGAGATGGGGTCTTGTGCACTAATTACTGGGGCTGGCCTCGACCCTCAATCCTCCCAATCTCAGCCTCCCAAGTAACTAGGATTACAGAAGTGAGCCACTAGTGCCAGGCAAGGGAGTGTTTTAAAACTTAAAACTTGAAGGTTCCACAGTCCTGAAAACAAAACCCCACCCAGTCCAGACCTGCCCACCTTTGGCCTTGTCCTCCCCCAAACACTCACATCTCCCCCCTTTAGCATGTGCTGGGTCCACACATTCCTCCTCTCCTACCCATCAGCCACACCCTCCTCACTGTTCAGTCTCAACTTAGACATCTCCTCCCCAGGGAGGCTGCCTGGCTTCCTCCTCCAGCCCTCAAGCTGGGCCAGGAGCCTCCTCAGGGCTCTGAGATTCTCCTAGGCATCTCTCATCAGGGCTGTGTGGTCATCGCGTGGCTCTGTGTCCTGTACATAGCAGGTACTCAGTCAGTGTTTGTTGAATGACTAGATGAGCCCACAAAGCTGGTTGCAACTGTTGGGTGGGAGGCCCACCCAGGCCTCAGGCCAGAATAGAACCTCCCTTTCCTGCCTTGATCCAGGCAGGAACTGGGGGTGGAGAGGGGCAGGGCTGGGCCAGGGTCCAAATGCATATCCTGTTCAGCTCCATTCCCACGCACTTGTGGCTGCTCCTTGCTGCTTGGGGGAGGGAGGTTGATGTGGAAGGGGCCTGGATGGCTGAGAGTCAGGCCCAGGAACATGAGCACCCCTTCCCTCTGGGTCCCAGCAGGAGGACAGGCGAGCGCCAGAGACTCTGGCCTCATTAATCATGTGATCTTAAATACAACAACTCTTCCATTTTATGCCTCTGTTTCCCCACCTACACCCATTTCACAGGCTGTGGTGGAGATTACATGAATTAATACAGGTGAAAGGTAGACATCAGTGGCTCTTGCCTGTATTTCTAGCTATTTGGGAAGCTGAGATTGGGAGGATCCCAGGCTGAGCAAATAGTTCTCACGACCCCCATCTCCAAAACAGCCAGAGCAAAATGGACTGGAGGTGTGGCTCAAGTGATAGAGCGCCTGCCTTTCAAGTGCAAAGCCTTGAGTTCACACCCAATCCCACACATACCACACACACACACACACACACACACACACACACACACACACACACACACACACATTACAGGCAAAGGGCTAAGAACAGAGCCAGGTACACAGTTGGTGTTTGAGGATTAGCAGCTTAAATTGATGCAAAAGGGAAGTCTCACTTCTCTCCACAGAGGCCCTGGGTGGTTGGCTGCACATAGCACGTTTGCATAGCTTGTACCATCCTGGGAACCCGTGGATTCCCTCATGGGCAGGTCAGAATACTCACTTGAGTGATAGACATTTGACCAGGATCCTCTGTCCAAAGTGCTCATGGGGTGGCTCAGGGCGGCTACAGCGTTCCACAGCCTCATCCTGCCAAGAGCCAGGAGACAGCGGGGATATGTCCTTCAGAAAGGGCCTGGAACATCTGGCCTAAGACCAGCCCGACCCCCAGCCTGACAAAACTTCTCTCAGAATTTTGCCTCTGAGCCTTTGCACATGGTGTTCCCCTCGCCTGGAATGCTTTTGCCCTCCTCCTTGTTGAGCTATATCCCCAGCATCAGCCATAGAGTGGGCACCCAAACATGTCAATTGAATAAATACAGAGGTATACAATAGGCACCTAGTAAAAGTGGGTTGGGTAAGCATATACAGAAAGCATTCAATAAATGCTGACTGGACATTTATGTGGTTGGAGATGGTCTCCAATCTTCAATAGTTGACTTATAATTTTTCAGCTTTACAGAGAATTTTTCATTTTCAGTATGGTATTTAATAAATTACATGAAATATTCAACACCATAAAATAAAATAAGCTTTGTGTTGGATGATTTACCCCCTCTAGGTGATACAAGTATTCTGAGTAACTCAAAGTAGGCTAGACTATGACATTTGGTAGAGTAGGTAGATATTTGATATTTTCAACTTCCTACATTTTGAACTTACAATGTGTTTATTGGGATATAACCCCATCATCAGTCTAAGTGCATCTTTGTATGTGACATACCCAATAAATACTGATTGGATGGACAGAAGTATACAGTAAGCACTCAATAAATGGCTAGATAAAAACATAAACATACACATTAGGTGCCACATAAATTTTGGCTGGATAGTTACAGGCATATATGGTAGATGCTTAACACATATTAAGTCATATAAGCCAGGTGTGGTGGTTCATTCCTATAATCCCAGCTACTCAGGAGGCAGAGGCAGGAGGATCTAGAGTGGGAAAGCAGCCTGGGAAAACTTGTGACACCCTGACTAAAAATACAAACAAAAGAGCTGGGGCTGTGGCTCAAGTAGCAGAGCATCTGCTTAGCCTGCATGAGCGTGAGGACTTGGGTTCCATCCCCAGCACTGCAAAAAAAAAAAAAAGGTATACAGTAGGCATATAAATACTTGTTGATAAATACAGGGATATGCAGTCAGAGTCCAGTAAACGAGAGTTGGATATATGGTAGGTATGCAATAATGTTATTGGCTAAAGGTAGAGTATACAGTAGGCACCCAATGACTGTAGGATAATGCACAGGGCACCCACCTCATCAGGCGCGGGGTAGAGGGTGAGGAGTGCCCGGGGCCGCTGCTGCCGCCGCAGGGCCTCATTGCGCCGGTCTACGTCCTCCGGTGCTGCCCGCTCCAGCAGCGAGGGCAGCAGGGAGTCCGCGGCCAGGTTCCTCAGGTCAAAGATGCCGGAGGCGCCGCTGCCTCGAGGGGTGTCCTCTGGGGAGCCTGAGCAGCGGCGGGAGTCTTCCTGCCGAGCAGAATGAGCAAGCACTGAGCGCCAGCTGGATGCACCCCCCCCAACCCATGCACAGGGGAAGCTGAGGGGCAGGCAGGGCGGGATCACCACTACTGGGGTCGCCTGGGGGAGTTTTGGTAGCCTTCTCTCCAGAAACTTCAGGAGAGACTTCTGTCTGGGGAGTCCCTCCCCACACTCCTTTTGCCACTGTTGGTGATGGTGTCCCGTGTTCTGGTGTCACATGACCCTGCTCTGGATAATCAGAATCCATCTGCCAGTCCCAGGGATTAGCTTGATGGTGGGCGTGTCTGGGTGCGCCAATCACAGCCTTCCCTGGGACTTTGCTCACTGTGGCCAGGGGAGGGAGAGAAAACCTCCCACTGGGGCTTGGCTCCAATGTATAACCATATGCCTGGGCTGGGCCAATGAGAGCCTTCCCTGAGACTTTGCTCCCTGTTGCCAAGGGAGAGAAGAGTTCTTCCCATTGGGGCTGTCACTGGGTCAGGACCTTACCTGACTGCCTATACTTAGCACTCCTATTTTTGAGCTAGTCTCACTGGCCTCGAACCTGTTATGTAGCCCAGGCTGATCTTGAACTCAAGATCATCTTGCCTCAGCCTCTTGAAGATTGGGATTACAGATATGCATCACCACTTCCGGCCTGATACAACGGCTTTTGGACCCAACACTGATAGGTGTGTATATATATATACACATATATATATCTATCTCCCTGTGTTGTGGTGTAGTGACCTGAGCCGGAGGTTCCCTCACCGTGTCCTCAGGGCCAGACCGCTCATCTCCAGAGGCATCCTGCTCATAGACTTGGCGGGTGAGGCCCTTCTGTCGCTCTCGCTGCGTCTCCGTGGTGATGGGGCTGTACACGGCACTCAGGTGCTGGTACCTAGTACAGGAAAGCAGGCCTGGCAGGTGGTGGGGCTGAGGACACCTCGGTACACTATGATATACCAGGAGACCACAAGACGCCTACAAGGCCATCAGCAACTTTGTGTTCTATGGGAGAAACTCACTGTCCTTGCAGGGATGGTGGGCAGATAAACAGGAGGACCGGCTACAGACAAGGGCTCAGTCACCTGGGGATGAGACTCTGCCTTGTGACCCTCCGCCCACTGTGAACTGTATCTCACCTTCGGCACACGATGACCCAGTCCTCTGTGTACATCTCTACCGCAGCCCTCGCCTGGGCATCCAGTTTTCTATGGCAAGATAAAATTAGGGTAAACAGAGGCAGGGCCCACTATGAATTTTTCTCCTGGCCCACAAGGTAGGGACTATTTCTTCCTATTTCAAAGATGCAAACATGGAGGCTCAGAGAGGGAAGGTGACTTGTCCAAGGTCACATAGCCAAACCTGGAGTTGAACTCATGGTTGAACTTGGGGCTGTGGGATTCTGGAAGAGCAGGTGTATGGGGCAGAACCCACCCATCCTCGGGAATCCCAGGCTCCGTGGTCCGGCATTCCCGGGGCTGTCGCAACAGTTCCAAGTCATCAGCTGGAAATTCTACCAGGTCCCTGAGGGGTCCAGGTTCAACATCTGGTGGCCGGCTCAGGAGCACATCCTCAAAGTCCAGGGGCTCAATGACCTCCATCAGAGGGACCTGGGTTGGAGCAAAGTGGCTGTGACCCTACCACTTTGGAGGCTGGGAGTCAGGGGACCCAAGATGGGGGTGGGCTCGCGCTGGCTTCAGACTTAAGAATAGGGAGCCACGGAGAGTGTTGGAGCTGCAGAGGCCCCAAGGAGGCCAGTGACCTCAGACTTTCCACTGCAGATTGGCCACCCTGCCCCTCCCTCTTAGGGACTCCAGGAAGGAAATCACACCCTGGTTTCTGGAAGGGAAAGAATCCAATGGTGAGAGAAGAGACAATTGCTAAGGCTCCAGGCCAAGTGCAGCCCCACCCCCTCCCCACGGTGGCAGAAAGTCCCTCCCAGCCCCCAGTCCCATCGGTGTGGTCAGGAAGCAGGCGTGTCTCCAACCACCCCCAGGACTCCCCTTAGCACCCACAGGGAGAGCACGCCCTCTCCCCACTCAAGGTTGACAGGAATGGCGACAGGACAGGGACACAGGGAGCTGCTGTGTCTGAGGGCATACCCCACCATGGCCAGCGACAGGACGGGATCCTGGGGGTGGGGGTCCCCAAACACTCACCCCCAGGGAGCTGCTGGAGCGACGGCTGGAGTGGGGAGAACCACTGCGTTCTCGGGACACCTGCTTGCGCACCTCTGCAGCCACCGTTCTGAGAGGACAGGAAGAAGAAGTTGTTGGGGGACAGGAAAACCGAAGCAGTGGGACCCTGAAAACCCAGGCTTTGGGGCCAACAGATTCATTTTAAGAAAGAATCCAGGCTAGGTAAAGGGGAAAACAGGGTGCCACCCGGGGACAGTCTTCCTGTTCCTGCAAAGCTGGGCCTGGGGCCCATCCAGCCCCTGGAGCACAGCTGGTGACAGCCACTGGATAGAACTTGAGGGGGGTCATAGGTCCTGCCCCACCATCCAGGCCTAGGAGACTCTGATCCTGGCCTCTGCTTCCTCATGTGGGAACTTCTGCTTTCATGGGGTTCCCTGCATCCCATCTCAAATGTGCCCTTATCCTGTCCTATCCTCGCTATGTGGCCTTGAACAAGTGATGCCTGCCCCTGAGCCTCAGTTTACCCATTCATAGCTGCCCTGATTTCACAGGGCAACTATGCAGAGTGGAGCACAGGGCCTGATATTCAGTAAGCGCTCCATACATGCATGTTCTCACGGAGTTTGAGATAAGGCTGTCATGGGTTGAGGCCAGCTGAGCTCTTTAAACACAGCTGTGATAGAGATCAGAGCTATGACTCACCCAGGCCACCTGCACCTCAGTCCCCAAAGCCAAGGAGAGGCTGGGGTGTAGCTCAGTGATAGAGGTCCTGCCTAGTACACCCAAGGTCCTGGTCCAGGTTCCATGATCAGAATCAGGAGGAGGATCGTGAGTTCAGGGCCAGCCTGGGCTACAGAGTGAGACCAGGGAGACACGGGTGTAGGCGGTAGGTTCACAGGGGAGGAGGCCATGTAGGAATTTGGGCAGATCCAGAGCATGAATCACTCAGGACCCCAGTTCCTTCAGCCGAGCATGGAAGGAACAGGAGGCAAAAAAGCCAGGAAGGTAACTGGAGAAGGAGTGTACCAGGTAGAGGAAATAGCAAGTGCAAAGGTCCTGAGGCTGCACTCTGTATTCTGAGTATGGCCATCCCTCCTCCCTGGGATCTCAGTGAAGGCAGGAGCTAGGGTTGTGTGGTCCCAAGGATGATCCAGTGCCAGGTGCTGCACATGCTAGGTGCTCAATAAAACAATGTCATTTTTCCCCCCACCTCCAGTGCTGGGGATGGAATCAGAGTCTTGTGAAGCTAGGCAAAGCCCCTACCACTGAGCCACATCCCCAGCATTTGGTTTTTTCACACAGAGTCCTGCTATGTAGTCCACACTAGCCTGGAATTCTTGATGCTCCTGCCTCTGCCTCCTGAGTGCTGGGATTAAAGGTGTGCACCACCACGCCTGACTCTTTAACGGATGAGTGAAACCCTCCTAGTATTCTTCCTGGTCTGACTTGCCCAGATCTTGCTGAGCTGTATAGCTTTGAGCAGGTAGGACACCTTCTATAGCGTGCTCAGCCTACCAGGTGCCCACTAGCTTGTCATCCCAGCACTTGGGAGGTTGAGGCAGGAGGATCTCTAGTTTGAGGTCAGCTTGGGCAACATAGCCAAGACCCTGTCTCAAAAAGGAAAAGAGAAGTGTGCCAACAAAATGTGATGGTCACAACTGCCACCCTGATGGCACACAGGCCGCCAATATTAGAAAAGTAGGGCTAGGAGTGTGGCTCAAGTGATAGAGAGCCTGCCTAGCTAGCTCAAAGCCCTGAGTTCAAACTCCAGTATTGCAGAAAGAAGAAAGAGAAGAGTGTACAGTAGACCTGGGTAAGATTCTAAGAACAGAATGGGGACGTATGAGATGGGGCCAAGCTGGGTACTGGTAGCTCATGCCTGTCATCTCAGGTACTTGGGAGGCTGAGATGGGGAGGATCATGGTTTGAGGCCAGTCCAGGCAAATAATTCTCAAGACCCCATCTCCAAAAAAACCAGAGCAAAATGGACTGGAGGTGTAGCTCAAGTAGTAGAGCACCTGCTTTGCAAGTGCAAAGGCCTGAGTTCAAAGTCCAGTCCCACCAAACAAAAAACTTTCAGAGTATTAAAAATAAGCAAATTATTGGACAGGGGACATAGCTCAGTGGCAGAGCACTTGGCTAGATACATAAGACCCTGGGTTCCATCTCCAGCACTGCAATAAATAAAATAAATTTGGACTCAAATTCACAAAGTTGGGGCAGCATTCTCTGGAGCCCTGGGCACAGAGAGGCTACGGAGTGATTTATGAAAGATGCCAGAACAGGGGACAAGGCTGAACCCAGGGCCCAGCTATTCTGCAGCACTGTTCCAGAGGAGGGAGACAGGTGGAGAGCTGGCCCTCGGGCTTCCCATTGCCTTTGGTGGTGAGAGAGCTCAGCCCACAAGCCATGGGCCAGGGAGGCAGCTGGGCTTTGCACTTGGACCTGGAGGAGCAGGGATGTGTGCTGTGGTGTGGTATGGTGTGAGTGTGGCCCTGAGGGTTCAGTGTAGAAATTTAATCCCCATTGCATTAAGAGGGTGGAAATGTAACTGGATTACAGCATCTAAAGGTGTGGCCTTTGGCAGGTGACTAGGGTTAGGTAAGGTCACAAGGGTGGACCCCCAATTGAATCCTGGTGGCTTTATAAGAAGACAAGAAAGGGCTTGTGGGCTGGTGGAGTGGCTCAAGTGGTAGAGCGCCTGCTTAGCAAGTGCGATGCCCTGAATTCAAATCCTAGTACCACAAAAAAAAAAAAAGATGGAAAGAGAGACCAGATAGACACAGAGACACACATGCTCACTCCTTATTTTGGGGTTAGAAATTTGGCATAATACATCTAGCATTATAATCTACAATGAAAGTCTATAATTTTCCTCTAGATTGCTGCAGCAAGAAGCCCATCACCAGATGCAGCTCCTTGTCCTGAACCTCCAGAACTGCAAGCTAAAAAACTCTTTTCTTTATAGTTACCCAGCCTTGGGCATTGTGTCACAGTAACACAAAACAGACTAGTGCTCTGAGTGACGACTCCTCCCCTTCTAGTCTCTAGGCCCAGGACACTTTTCCCCTGGGAGACTGTCCTGAGCATAGAGCAAGGTACACAGTAAGTGCTTAATTAAGGCTCACTGTCACCGTGTGGTGCTGAAAGGTGATCCTGGGAAGCTGGGGTTTTTGGCTTTGTTTTTATACCAAAAGTAAACAAGGCCCAGAGAGGGCTTGTGACCCACCCAATGCCAGACAGTCAAACCTGGAACGATCCAGAATGAATTCTGGCTAGCTGGAAGTCAAAGTTGATGTTTTCAGGCTTGGGTGTTCTGCAGACGGGAGTAGGGGGTATGACCAAGAACAGGGGGCTTCCGAATCCACCTCTTCTCTGTCCACTCACCACCACCTCTAAAGGTCCCACCGAATCTCAAGACTTTAATTCTATCTAAATTATTAGTGCATTCTTGGTCTGTCCCATGTGACCACCTATTCTGCTCGTTTGCCCACGTGAGGGTCCTGCATACCCTGTGGCCACATCACAGGCTCCCTCCATCTTCCCCCTCTCACCAGGCAGCTTCACCTCATGAGTTCCCAGGATGCACACCAAATCCATGGCCCCAGTCCCTCCCTTTCTCACACCTCCAAGTCAGACCTGTTTCTGGTGCCCTTGAAGGAGCATGCTTTTTAAAAGGAGGCAAAATACTCAGCTGAATTTAGTGGATGTTCCCAGGTGGTAATTGCACATGAGCAATAAGAGAAATTATAAGGACTGTGGATTTCATCTCAGGTCAGATTAACTGAGGTCTAGCCTCACAGGGAAGGAGGACAACAAAGCCAGAAACAAGAAAAAGGCCCAAAGCCCTGTGTGTTCCCACTTGTTCAAAAAGCAAAGAAGCAAACGAATTAGTGTCAAATGATATAAATTCTCCAATGGCTTTTTTTTTTTTTTTTGCAGTACTGGGGCTTGAACTCAGGGCCGGGCTTGCTGGGCAGAGCTTTCTTTAAAAAAAATTTTTTTTTGTGCTGCAGCTGAACCCAGGGCCTCCCACATGATAAGCACATGTTCTGCCTCTGAGCTATACCCCAGTTCCAATTTTTTTTTTGATGCTTAATTTTTTTGGGGGGGGTACTGGGATTTGAACTCAGGACCTATACCCTGAGCCACTCCACCGCCCTTTTGGCCTTAGGTATTTTAGAGCTAGGGTCTCATTAACTATTTTCCTGGGCTGGCTTCGAACCGATTCTCCTGATTTCTGCCTCCTGAGTAGCTAGGATTACAGGCATGAGCCACCAGTGCATGGCATTTTTTTTTTTTTTTGTGGGACCAGAATAAAATGGACTGGAGGTGTGGCTCAAGCGGTAGAGTGCCTGCTTTGCAAGTGTGAGTCCCTGAGTTCAAACTCCAGTCCCAGCAACCCCCACTCCAAAAAAATACCCGTGTCACAATTGCCCACAGTTGGCCAGGGGTGTGCCTCAGTGGTACAGTGCTTGTGGAGCCTCTGCAAGGCTCTGGTTCCATCACCAGCACTGAAAGAAAAAAAAAAAAAGAGCTGGACACTGGGCACTGGTGGCTCACACCTATAATCCTAGCTACTCAGGTGGCAGGAGGAGGGTTGTGGTTAGAGGACAGCCCAGGGAAAATACTTCCCCAGACCGTATCTTGAAAAAACCCATCACAAACAAGGGTTGATTGATGGCTCACGAAGTACACCAAGTAGTAGAGTGCCTGCCTAGCAAGTGTGAGGCCCTGAGTTCAAACCTCAGTACTGCTTAAAAAAAAAAATGCCTACGATATTCAGTACAAAAACTTACTGTATGGATTTGGAGTCTAGAATAGAAGCAATAGGTTATACCCTGAGCCTAGGTGTACAGTATATTATACCACTTAGATTTGTATAAATATACTCTATGATGTTCACGTGACCAAATCTAGTGATGAATTTCTTGCTTACTTTTTTTTAGCGGTATTGGAATTTGAACTCAGGGCCTCCTGCTCACTAGGGAGGTGCTCTACCACTTGAGTCATGCCCCTAATCCTTTTTGCTTGTTTACTTTGTTTTTGAAAAAGGGTCTCATGCTTTTACCCAGCAGCCCGGTACTGGGTCCATATATTTCTGCCTCTTGAGTAGCTGGGATTACAGGTGAGCACTACCACGCCTGGTCCCTAATGATGAATCAAGAGCATTTTTCAGAATGTGTTCTCGTTGCTTAGTGGTACAAGACTGTAAATGTGTGTGTTTGGATTTGCAGATATATTTTAGGGATGAGGCAGAAGAGAGATGATGGTTCCCTGAAATTCTGGGGCTACCCTGGAATTTTGAAACTTGTCAATGTGCAACTTATTTTTCTTCCACCCATTCAACACATCGCTATTTCTTTAAACAAGAAAAGAGCCCACATCAGAAAAGAGGCGCAGGATGAAGCCATGGGACAGACAGGACCAGAAGGGGCATAGCTTCCAAGAGAACTCTGGGCTCTAAGGCCCAGGGTTCGGGGGTCCTCTCTCCACTGGTGACCCTCAGGAACAGCTTAAGCACTTTGAGCCTTGGTTTCAATAGTCAGACCTGAGTCAAAAGATTGCAGGGATAATTAAACAAGTGACATCCCAAGCAAGGATACATAATAGGTGCACAATACATGCCATTCAATATTCTATTAGACTTCAAATGCTACTTGAGGGCTGGGGGCGTGGCTTAAGTGGTAGCGTGCCTGCCTAGCACATGCAAGGTCCTGGGTTCAAACCCCAGTACCACCAGAAAATAATTACTCAACTGAAAAAAAAAAGAACAAATTAGATTACATTCAGCAATATTTGTCTGTATTAACTACATTCATAAAAGTTTGTAAATTTTAGATGCTCCTTTTTTTTTTTTTTTTACTGAGGATTGAACTAGGGACCTTATGGATGCTACCACTGAGCTAAATCCCCAGCTCCAAAGCATTTTTCTTTCTTTCCTTCCTTCCTTCCTTCCTTTCTTTCTTTTTTGGTGGTACTGAAGTTTGAACCCAGGTCTAGAGCTTGCTAGGCAGGAGAACTACCACTTGAGTCTTTTTTTTTTTTTTTTTTGGTTTAGTTGTTTTTTGTTTGTTTTTTCTTTTTCAGGTAAAGGGCTCATGTTTTTTGCCTGGGGTGGTCACAGACCACAATCTTATGCCTCCTGCATAGCTGAGATAACTGGGATGTACCACACCCTCAGCTTATTTGTTAAGATGGGGTTTCACTAACTTGTTGCCCAGTCTGGCCTCAAACTGTGATCCTCCCAATCTCTACCTCTCAAGTAGCTGGAAATAATTTTAAGACTCTGTTCATTAGGAAACTGCAGAACTGCCTAATATTTGGATTAAGTTGGTTTTGTTTTGTTTGTTTTCTGAAACAGGGCCCCACTAGGTTGTTCTCAAGCTGTCAATCCTCCTGCCTCCACCTCCCTGATCTAGTTTTTGGGGATGAACAGCTGAATGAATGGGTGAACACAGGTCCAGGTCTGAGCACAGACTCCTGGGTGCCCACAAGGCTGTTCTGGGAGACTTGGACCCCAGGTTCTTCTTCTGTTCCTCCTACCCTACACTCTGCAGCTCCTGTTCCCCAGGACAGAACCCAAGACCCCTCTTTCTCACTTGAGTATAAGCCAAGACTCAAGGACATAGGGACTGAGCAGGAAAAAAAAAGACAGTGATAATATCCTCAGGCTAGGAGTCCATGTCAGAGAGACAATTCAGAGACAAATACTGGTAGAACAGAAATTTTGACCAACTGCTTTACCCTCGCACCAAGTCATACCATTCCTCTCTTCAGAACTCTCCATGGCTCTCATCTCACTGGGGATAACAGTCAAAGTCCTCCCTATGGCCCACAGGCCCTACATGATCTACGCCTACTGTCTCCTTTGCTGCCTCAGGGCCTTTGCACTTGCCCTTCCCTGTGTTTGGACCTCTCTTCCCTCACACAACATGACTCCCTCATTTCCTTAGGGACTTCACTGAATACAGGTGTTCATCCAGGCCTTTCCAATCCACTTCATATGCCTAAGCACCCCCCCACACTTCCTATTCCTTGTCTTGTATGATCTCAGAACCGGGTATCACTAACATATAATCTACCCTGTCACGTGTCTGATCTGTCTCCCCCCTCTCTATCTACCTCCAAGAGTTGAGTTCTTTTCTTATATGGTCCTTTCACCTGAGAGCAGTTAGGACAGGTCCCCAGTGCAGAGGACACCAGAGCAGACTCTGAATCTACCCTAGTCCCCCCTTAGAGTGTGACATCCCCCTCCCAGGCTCGGTCTCTCACAATCTCCAGTGGCCACGGAAATGGATCCCCCAGCGCCTGGCGCCTGTCCCCTCCCCGTCTGCCCACCAGCTGGTTCCGTCCCAGCCCCCACTCCATCCATTCAACCACCCCTCATCCACCGCCAGCGCGTCCAGCCCGTGCTGGGAGAGCCTAAGGCAGGAGGTGGGGGGCTGTCCACAGCTGTCCCCAGCTCCCCCCTTCGTCCCCCAGACAGCTGGGCACTGGCTCCTGAGGCGGGGGAGGGGCACGGCAACTTCCCAAGGGGTTCCAAAGTGAGTGGCTCAAGCAGTAGAGCATCTGCCTAGGCCTAGCAAGCATGAGGCCCTAAGTTCAAAACCCAGTACTACCACAAAAAGACATTTGGGGCTGGTGGAGTGGCTCAAGTGGTAGGGCGTCTGCCTAGCAAATGTGAGGTCCTGAGTTCAATCCCTAGTACCACCAAAAATAAATAAATAAAAGCCACCGGGGAGCACATCCACGTACCCTGCCCCAAATGAGGCACTGAGAATGGGACACAAAGTCCTCCCACCCCAACTCACTGGGGCGCGAGGACCACGCCCGGAGACCCAGAACTGACGCGCAGTCCCCGCGCCGCCTCCTCCGGGAAGCCCCCCCGACACGCCCCCCGCGCGTCCAGCAGGCTCGGAAGAAAGGGGGACCTCAGCCACCATCGCGCTCCCCGCCCCGGCGCGACCCCACCTCGGACCTCGCCGTACTCCCCGCCTTTCCCGGTCCCCAGCTCCCGCGGGAGGTGGCGATCGGGACCCCCCGCAGAGGCGGAAGGGGTTGAACGGGGGTCGTCCAGGCGGGGGAGGGAAGGGCCGCCTCGGGGTGGAGCCACGTGAGGGTGACCGAGATATCCAGCGGCTGGGCTACCTGTTGATCTTGTGCGCGAAGGCGCGGCGCTCGGCAGCCGCCATGGCGCCTCGCGTCCCGCCGACGCGCGCTGGGGCCCCGCGTCCCGCCGCTACCGCTGCTGCTGCCGCCGCCGCCGCCGCCGCCCGGCTCTGGGCAGCGGGCTGGGCGTGGCCACTCGGGGGCGGGGCCCAGTAAGGATGGGCGGGGGCGGAGCCCTAAGTTTGACTGGGTTAGGCAGCCTTGGGGGCGTGGCTGGGGACGGGGGGGCGTGGTCGGCGCGGGGCGGGGGGTGAGGCCCAGTCGAGCTGTTCTCAGCAGGCCAGGGGGCGGGGCCGAGGGGGGGCGGGACCCACTCAAGCTGGGCTGGACAGACGGGGGGGCGGGGGGAAGGCGCGAGACCCAATCAGGTGTGGGAGCTGGCGCGGGGGCGGGGCCTAGTCGGTCTGGGTGGGGTTGGCGAGGGGTTGGCTCTTCTGGGTGGCGGGGCTTCTCCGTGCTGCAGCTCCCAGCCGCGCGTTTGGAGCCCAAATGGGGAAACTGAGGCTCAGAGTCTCTCTACCTAGAGGGGGCCCAGTGGATCCCGGACTCCTCTGGGAAGTTACTTTCTCCTCCCTCTGACTCTTGGCTGGAAACAATATCAAAGTCCACACGTGGAATAATCACGGATATAATCGCTAACGTGTGTTGCGCACGGCCCTGCGGGGGACAGACGTGAAAGGACAGACGGGGAAACTGAGGCACAGAGGTCTTTAGGCATTTGCTCAGAATGACTCGCAGCTGGGCTCTGGGACCTCGGTGGCATGTTTCCCAGTCGGTAGGTGGAGGTGGAGTGGTGGAAGGGTCCATCCGATCTCTGGGGTGCTAGGACATGTGACATGTGGAAGGGAGACCTGAGGAGGCCAGTATGGAAGGCTCTGCCCACCAGAAGGTGGGAATGTCTTGGTTAATTTTTGCTCTCAAATTTTACCCGAGAGAATTTTCTAGCACTCTCTCATTTCTGGGTGTGCCAACACTTTTTCCACATTCATGCCTCTGCCTGTTGCAGGTCCATCCTCCTGGGCAGCCCTTGCAGCCCTGGTCAGGAGGTGTCCTAAGGAGAATTTGAAGCTGAATAATACTAGGACATATTTCTGCCTCAGGATTTTTGCATGTGCTATTCCCTTTCCTGTGTATGAATGCTGGTTCTATACCTATTACAGATGAACAAACAGAGGCCCAGAGAGATAGAGTGACTTTCCCAGTGAATCAGGGTCTGAACTTACAAGAAGGAGATATGGATGGTAGATGAACCCTTCAACCTGGTCATCTAGGTCCAGGATTTCATCCAGGCTAGTTAGGTCATAGCAGGGCTGCTCCCTAGCAGCCCTGATACTGTGCACACTAGTATCAGAGCCCATGAACCTGCCCAGAGTGGCCCAGCTGCTTTGGCCCGAGAGGAACAGGTGTTAACTCCACCCATCATCTGGGCTGGACCTCACCCAGTGACACCCTACATCCTGCCATGCGAAAGTCCTTGCTTCTCCCTTGCCTTGCAGAAGCTGGAGCCAGGCTACCCAGGGAATAAGAAGATCAAGAACGATTTGTGGATCTCTCATCTCCCTCTGCCTAGTTCTAGGTTCTAGTTGCTTCCATTATATCTGGTCTCCTGTCCTCCCTGCCCCCGCTCCCCACCCATTTCCCCTTAGTTGTCTGTTCTCATCACCACCAATGGCGAGAAAGAGCCTGGGAACACCCAAGTCATGTCACAACCCTCCTCTGTATAGAATCCTCCATTGTTCCCACTTCACTTCAAGCCAAAGTCCTCTCCACAGCCCACAATGCACTGCATGATCTGTCCTGTCATCTCCCATCTTTACCTCCTTCTCTCCCCTCGAGTCACTCCACTCCAGCTGCCCCATCTCCTCAGAATTCCTGGAACCCAGCTGTACCTCAGGATCTTTACACATACCAATGTTTCCTTTCCTATGAGCAACTGCTGGTATTATCCAAGGATAATGGCCCAGGCAGGACCTGGCTGTGTGACCTAGTATAAATTTCTCAGGCTCTCTGAGCCTCTGTTTTCTTATCAGCTTCTGGAAGACCCAGGATGGGTCACAGCATAAGGCACAGATAAGGGGAGATGGGTTGGGCCTTGGAGCACACAAGTGCCCCCTGCGGACTCCCAGCACTGCCTTGCTAAAAATGGTGGTTTCAAAGATCCTCCAAGACACAGCCTTGCAACAGGCACAGCCAAAAGCCCCATGCCCTGCCAGACCTGATTGGTGAGGCTGCTCCTCGCCAGGGCACAGCCGGGTCTGACTCAGCCAGGTGTGGCTAGGGGACTTTGGTCTCCTGTGTCTGCTGTGCACCTGACCTGATGGAAGATGACAGGGCTAGGTGGGGGCGGGGCTGCAGAGATGGGGAGAAGTGGGAGGCTCTGGGTAGACTGGGAGAGAGACAGTGGAGTTGAAGACCATGTCCCTTTACCCGGGCTGTGCCTCATTCTGTTCCCTCCACCAGCACACTTTCTTGGTTACCGTTACCCCCCCCACACACACACACAGCTGCCTGTGATTTCCCCGCTGGACCCTCCATCCTGCAGTGTCCCAATTGCTGGAGTTTTCCATCTCCATCTCCCTGGGGTCACCAGCATGTGGCACGTAGCTGCTGCTCCTAATTATCTATTTCTGGGCTCTCTTCTGTGTTTCTGATGTGCTGCTTGGTGCTTATTCCAGGAGCTTGCTATTTGAATCACTGTGGCATTTTAATGTGATTTTGGATCTTTCTGCCCCAGGCAAGCTGCCACAGGACCTTTGCACATGCCATATGGTCTGCCTGGAATGCCATTCCCTGCTCTATCTTTCCCTCCTTCCCTTCCTTCCTTCCTTTCTTCCTTCCCCTTTTGTGTATTTGATACAGGATCTCACTATGCAGCCCATACTGGCCTCAAACTCATAATCGTCCTGCCCCTGCGTCCTCCTCTATTGCTTACATTACTGATTTTTTTATTCATTCAGGTCTCCTACCTCTTTGAAGGTCTTGTGCTTTCCTGTCCTCCACCCTCATTGCCAAAACTGGGATCAGGAGCTCCTCTGAGCTCCCATCTGCCCAGCCCCTAGGTCTCCCCCAATACAGTCCTGAACCCCTCGGTTGTAATTGCCTGGTTCCATGGTATCTCTCCCTCTCCACTTGAATGAAGGCATTTTTCTTTGCCTTATTCATTGTTGTGTACTCAGCACTCAACACAGAGCTGTGCACATCACAGGTGCTTAATAAGAGAATAAATGAAGAGCCAGGCATGGCAGCAACTGTCTGTAATCCCAGCACTCAGGAGGCTGAGATAGGAGGATTGAGGGTTCCTGGTCAGCCTGGGCTACATCTCTAGACCCTGTCACAAAAAAATCAAAACTTTAAAGAAGAGAACAAATGAGACAGAGACCTGGATGCCTTCCTGTCACCTGGTGCCTACTGTTGCTATAGGGAATGTGGCAAAGAAACCAGCCCTGCAGAGAACAAATTCCTGGGCCTCTCAGTCTAGGGCCACTGGGACTGAACATGGAGCACTCAGCAACAATAGTGAGGCCAGCCAGCCCTGGCCACGTGCTCTGTCCCTCCCATGGCAGGGGACATGAGCTGTGGAGTAAACAAAGTTGTACAGGAGGAGTGACAAGCAAGGGACATTCATCCAACAAGCATCCAATAAACACCTGCCACCTGCAGAAATGCACTGATCTCAGCCTACATCTGCCACAAATGCAGATGACCAAGCTGAGAAAGCAACCACTGGACACAAGTCACACAGCATGAGTGACAGAATCCATATGTACATCTGTCTTCTTCAAGGAAATCTCTCTCCTGTTTCTTTCATTCTGTGAATTGCCTGGTGACTGACTGACTGACATCTTGCAGAATCGGAGCAATCATGACTAGAAGTTTTTTGTTTTGTTTTGTTTTTTTGGCTCTACCACTTGAGCCACACCTCCAGTCCATTTTGCTCTGGTTATTTTGAAGATGGGGATCTTGAGAACTATTTGCCCAGGTTGGCCTCAAACCTCAAACTTCTGGATCTCATCTTCCCAAGTAGCTAGGATTACAGGAATGAACCACTGGTACCCTGCTCAATTCCAGAGATTTTTTTGTATTCAAGTCTCAGCTAGGTTGCAGCCAGACTGTATGACCTGGGGCCTCTCTGATCGTTGATTTCCTCATCGATGAAATGGGCACAGGGTAAAACTCAGTGTTGGGTCTACAAGTGGAGTCTGCAAGGTATGGTTAGGACAGCATAAAAGCCCAGGAAGCCGCTGCCTGCTTCAGTTGTTTTTCCTGCTTCTTCCGGAGCCAGGGAAGGAAGCTGAAGCCAGCAGGGTGTCCCGACATGCTTAGGGAATTGAAGTCACAAAGAGAGGGCAGAGGGGCAGGCTACAGGCTTCCTGTTTTTTCTTTGAACAGATGGCCCACCAGTGAGAAGCTTGTCTGTCTGGAATGCATTATGCTGGAACTCACTTCTTTTTTTTAATTGCATACTTGTACTTTTTATTTTTTTGATGTATTTTCTTGATATTTCATTTAATATAATTGCAAAGTAGGTCTGTGCCCTAAGATGAGCAAGAACACACTTTGTGCCAGGTTGCCAGTAGCTCACGCCTATAATCCAGCTAACTTAGGAGGCAGAGTCAGGAGGATCGTCGTTCAAAGCCAGCCGAGGCAAATAATTCACAAGGCCCAATCTTGATAAAAAACCTTCACAAAAAAAGGCTGGCAGAGTGGCAAGTGATAGAGGGCCTGTCTATAAAGTGTGAGGTCCAGAGTTCAAACTCCAGTGCTGCAAAAAAAAAAAAAAAAGAACACACTTTATAAATCTCACCAAGAGATTTTTTTAAAGCCTGGTGTGTGATGGTTCACCCTTGTAATCCTAGCTACTCGGGAGGCAGAAGCAGGAGGATCTTGAGTTTGAGGCCAGTTGGGAAAAGTAGGGGAGACCCTGTCTCCCTAAATAAATAAATAAATAAATAATCAAAATAAAATGAAAGATTACTTTGCAGGACCTGGGGCTTCAGGCCCTTGAGATGTTATCTACTGATACAAAAATAGACATCATTGTACGAGAACTGAATAGCAGAAGAGAATCAATT